AAATTACTCATTATACAAAATAGTCAATAGTAGAATTATAAAATGTTGTTATTGAAAATATTACAGAATAAAAAGTATTGACAGAAGAATAATTTATTTATAAATTTAATAGGTAATGTTAATCTATTTCTACATTGTTTGAACTTGTAAATACTTAAACATGTTCAGAACAAGAAGATTTGAGATCATTTTATAAGGAGATTTATGATTACAGACAAATATCATAAACTAAATTGGATAATAGTACTTTATACAATCATTATGATTCTTTATCATATTCAGATAAATATATTTTGAATGACATTTAATTAAATACTTTTAGAGAGATTAAATCTTTTTATTCTTCTAAACATATAAAATTTATAGATAATATAATAACATAATAGGATTTTAGTTTGTGTTATTTTACTAATTTATAATTAACTTATTAAATTGAGACTATTCCAAATTTTATTAAATTAAGTCATATAAAATAAAGTAACAAAATTAATATGAATTCAGTCACTATCAAAAATTCTTTCTGTAATAGATGTTAATAAGGCTTATTTTTAATTAATAATTATGATTTTTCAGCTTATAATACTACTACTATTTTTGAATTGAATTGTTAAAATAACATAATTGGTTACTTTGGTTGTTTGGTTATAACAACTCAAACTATACCTTAATTCAATATTACTTAAAGTAATAGAATCTTATAGAGTTCAACTCCAACTTAAAAATATAATATTAAATTATAGTAGAGTCTATTTTAAAGTAATTCTGCTTAAATAGGATCTGGTGTTTCAATTATAGGAGTGAGTATAAAAATAATTGATAGTCAATTTATGGATAACAAAGCAACATTAATTGGAGGAGGGATGATATTTGTTTATGATTCAGAAAGTTAAAATATCTTAGATCAATTTAACAATAATTATATCAATAATGATGCCTAATTAGGTAGTGCTATTTATATGATGAATAATAATCTAAATAATATAGAAAATTCATAGATTTTCATTTACCATAATAGTAATACTTAAATTGAATAGATACCAGAAAAATTAGGTTTGATGATGTAATAAGATTAATTAATGGAAATCTCTACTTTTTAAGAGAATGATGGTGACTTAAATGATGATAATATTATTGATAGTCCAAATCTCTATATAATTGATATTATAAGTATTTAGTCTATCAATATACCAAACTTAAAAAGTAATTACTTATTATTACCTTCTGGTTAATAGATATCATAATATAAATATTATTATGAAGATACTTAAGAATAAATACCTTATAATTGGATATTTAGAATTTACAATTTGGATAAGAATAAAAATATTATAAAATCAGTTTCATCAACAGAAACTTGTACTGTTTCAGGTCGTTTGATGGATGAATTAAATTTAGATTATACTAAATAATTTTTGTTTAATTTCACTTCATATTCAGCTATATTTTTTGATGAATCTACTAACTCTTTTAATTTTGATAACTTATAAATTTATTTCGATCCATACTTAAAAGAAAATATATTCTTATAACTCAAATGTAATATAATATATATATATATATATAGTTTAATGCACTTCTATAAAGATTCCAATTTATAATCAACAATCCCCTTATAATGTAATTTCTTATAATAAAAATTATGCTCTTTATTTGAATGTGAGAACTATTCCCTGTTAAATTGGAGAAGCATATTTAGAATAAAAATGTATGGCATGTAACTAAGCAAATACATATTCTGTTTAAGAGAATAGTGTACAATGTAAAGGCATTAATTCAATCTAAATGGAAATTGTAACTCCAGTTAGAATTAAATTGAAAGAATAATATTGGCGCCCTTTTCCAAATAATGATGATATTGAAGAATGCTACAACTTGTAATCCAATTGTCTTGGAGGTTGGGTTCCGGGAGATACCTCTTGTTATGAAGGTCATATAGGTGCATTATGTGAATAATGTGACATTTATGGAATTAGAGGACCCTAATATTCAGTTAGTAAGAAATATTCTTGTGGAGCTTGTTCAGATACTCTTGAATCTAATATTCTGATTATAATTGCAATTTCGATTTTCACTCTAGTTACTATGATTTTATCAGTTAGAGGAAACTATTAATTTATTGAGAATTTAATACATCAATAAGTTTTATAATCTATTGGAGCTAGAATTAATATATAATAAAGTAATATTAATATATTATATAGATAATGCATCTATCATAATGAAATAATTAACTAATTATTTATAAATCATTGCATCTTTAACAACATTTAGAATTTCTATACCTGCTGCCTTTGTTTCGTCTATGGAGGTATTGGGAAATCCAACTCAATCTATGGCATATTCACTAGATTGCTTTTTAGTGACTTTTGCAACTATCGATTTATTGTACTTTAGAATGGCTTGGGCATTACTAATGCCATTATTTTATATGATTCTATTCTTTTTTGGTTATTTTACTGTAGTATTAATGAGAATTGCTCCTTTTAAAGTTGGAATCATTTATACTACATTTATTTACATGTTCATCTATTTATAACCTACTTTAGTTGGTGGATTCATTTCATTATTGAGTTCTAGAACTGTAAGTGGAATAGAATGGGTCTAAAGTGATGTTAGCTATTAATATTATACAGATACACATCAATACTATATCTATATCTTTATTTGTCCCAATTTATTAGTTTGGAGTATATTATTACCATTAACCTTTATGCATCTGATCAGAAGAAATAAGCATTAATTAGATAATATGGAAGTAAGAAAACGATGGGGATTCTTCTATCATGAATATACTAATTAAGCATATTTATGGGAATTTGTAAAAATATTTGAAAAGGAACTTGTAATCATATCTTTGACATATTATGAAAATAAAATTGTTATAAAGGGATTAATTATATTTCTAATAGTATTTTTATATGGAGCATTTTCATTTACTTTTATACCTTATAAATAAAAAAAGTTAAATTTTATAGATTAAATGTCAACAGCAGCTTGTTCTTGTTCATTATGTTTAGGTGTTCTAATATATGCTAGCATGAATGAAAATTTAGATTATTTATAATATATTATGTTCTTAATAATAGCTATTATCAATACTTGTTTGATTGCTTTGATTCTATATCATTTGCTTGAAGGATATATTAATAAATTTGATGATAAATTAGACATTGTAAGAACTAAAATTAAATCAATATTCCCAAATATTGAATTCTAATACCCTTGTTTAAGAAAGTTATTAATAAATAAGAAAGAAATGAAAGAGAAAATTATTAATTATTGGGCAATTCTCAGATATGAAACTAGAGAAGGTATAAAAAGAAAAAGAAAAGATAAAAATCTACCTCTATTAATTTAAAAAATATAGAAACGCACTTAAGATTCTTAAGATTTATCAGAAAAGGATATATAATTAAAATAAGAACATTCTATAGATCAATAAAGAGATTTTAAGAGTCCAGATAGAGATAATAAAGATGATATTAAATTACTAAAAAGACCAAGTTAAAATTATTAAGGATTAATAGTTTAATAATAACATTCATTGGAATCATCTTAAATTAATTTAAGTAAAGTATTTCCTCAAAATAACTCAAATATTGATTCGACTAGAAAAGTAGAAAAAATTTAAGAAAAAATAATATTGAAGAAACCAATATGAATATTTATATAATTTTACAATTTTCATTTTCTATTTGTTCCCCTTAATCATGGTTCATTATTAAATAACGTAAAATTTTATTTTAAACCAAGTTATCAATTTTCTTGATTGATTTACCCATTTATTATTGGAATTAAAATAGGCTGATAAATTACTGGTTCATAATTATTTTTAATAAATTAGGTAAATTTTAACAAGTACACATATCTATTGTTTTTGCAATATCTTGTGAAAATTAGTTTCTTCTCTAGTTTATTTACTATTATTAATAATATCTTGTCTTCATATACCATTTTAATAATCTATTTTATATCATTCATAATCTAAATAAAATAAAAAAAATGGGTTGTTCAATTTAAAAAACGAAAACGATAAAAAAATGCGATGTTAAAGAGGAAAATCCAATAACAAGTAAAACCAATAATTTAGAAGTAAGCTATGGTTAGAATAAACAATTCATAATTTCTTCCATTATTCAAAGAAAAAGATTTTTGTTAAATACTATCCCTAAGCTTAACCTGTCTTCTAATGACCTATACAAAAGAAGGAAATTCAGATAACCAACCCCAAGCTTTTGATTGTTCTTAATGTATGATTATTATAATACTTATGAACATTCTTAATCATTTTTTTTAAGCCTAAACCAAAAGAAACATATCACTAAGATGCTCATTCTTCAAGTATGATGGTATATTTTAAAACCTTAACCAATTATATCTAAAGTTAATATATTTTTTTTTATTATCCCCAGGCTGTCCAACTGGTTTGAATTTATTATTAATAAAAATACGAAGATTCAAACTATCTTCATAAATGTATTTCAAGAGGGTTTTCAATAAGTAAAATAGTTTTTTATAGTATGAATTATAGATATAGTTTTTGAGCATAGTTTATATATTAAAAAATTATATAATTACTAATTTTAATAAACATATATTAATTAAACTAGTTTATAATAATGAATATTAATTAAATAAAATTAACTAGGGTTAGTTTGAAAATCAAATGAATAAAATTTTTCATGATTATAATATTTTTTTGCTAAATAGTTTTATTATATAGAGGATCAATTATTTATTTTCATTAAATAATTTCTTATTTTCGTTATAAGTATAATGTAAATAAAATTTTCTTGTATGTATAGGTAAAATAAAGCAAAATAAATTAGACCAGTAATTAATTTCTTCTTTCATTGTATATAGATATTAATTATTTGCAGATATAAATTTATTCTATCTAAAATATGTGCATACAAGGATTATACATTGAATTTTTGTTTAAATTTAGTAATTATGTTTAAGGAATAAATATATTCATATCTATTATTATTAAAATTATTATGAAATCACTTAATCTATAATTTGGAGACAATAGATAGAATTAGAGAGAAGACATGTTTCTTGCTAACATAGTTGAAAAAGTGTAATAAGGAAAAATTGGGTTGATATCTTTTGTTGATCAAGCCCAATTCATTGATTTGATGACATAGAAACACAAAAAGAAAGCAAAAGTATAACCTGTGTTTAATAAAATATTTGCTACAATTTAAGTAAACTTGGCAAAACATTAACAATCATAATAAAAGATTTAGGAAGTAAGTTATGAGATAAAAACAATATCATCAACTCGTCAATTAGGTTATAGAGGATCCTTTAATATTTCTAATAAAAGTGGTGCTTTACTTTTACATAAGGATAGTAATTTAAAAGAACATTAAACTAATGAATTTAGTGATAAGGAAATTTTAGATTAATAAATATTAGATGAAGCAACAAAAACAGAAAGAAGCAAGAGGAATTTGAGATTGTCTTAGATTACTTCAGATAAAAATGATATTAAAGGGTTTAAAACAATTCAAACTAGTCGTGATAATACTCAGGATTAATTTTTGAAATAGGATAATTTATCAACAGCAAGAAATGAAAAATTAAATTGTAATTTGTTGACTTAAGAATAATCTGATCAATCTTAAACTTAAATTAAAATGGAATCATAATAATCATGTATGCTTCCAATTGAAAAATTGAGATATGGTTTAAATACAAACTTCACTTCTGAAATATCAAATGGATAAGTATAAAATTAATCTGCAACATTTAATAATTAATAAGAATCTAATTAATAATAATAATAACCTTTAACATCTAGAAAATAATCAGATGTTTTATTAAAGTCAATTAAAGGTAGTTATCCATAATAAGCATATTTAATAAATTAACCAGAAAATAATTCAAGAAAAACATTAACACCAATCTAACAATCAAAATTACCTCCTGTTTTTGATTAAAATTAAAAAAATAATGAAAATAATTAATAAATAAAGAATGGTAATAAGACTGAAAGATAATTAAAGAATATAAAAAATTAAAAAGGTATTCATAGATATTAATAATCATAATAAGAATTTAAATAATAGAAAAAGATATAACATAAACCTTAACATTCTTTAGTAGATAAATCAAAATAAATATAAGAATAAGGAAAACATTAATAATAATTAACATAAGAAACTAGTTTTTGTGGAAATATAAATAATTCATAAAGAGCATCAAGAAGAGATTTAGATGAAAGACAATAAGAAAGTCCATAATTTTTAAAGACAGATATGGTAGAAGATATGGTAATTACAAATTCACCTTAATAATCACTACCTAAAGAGATAAAATAAACAACTAATTTTAGACCTGATACAAATACATTAAATATAAGTGAACATTCTTTTCAATCTAAGAGACATACAATAGATTAATATGATATTAATTCATTAATGCCTCCCTAATCTTCAAGAACTTTAACTTCTGCTTAGAAAGATAAAGTAGATTAAAGAAACTCAGTTAGTAATAATTCTGAAACTGATTAAAAATAATACAAGAATTAATTGACAGTTACTTTTAAGAGAAGTTCAAAAAGAATGAAATCTCATAATGTTTAAGGAAATGAAAATGAATATGATTAATAAGAGGAAGATAAAAAAAGAAGGTATTCATAAGAAAGATTATTCAAAAGTGATAATAGATTTGAAAAACTTGAAGAAGATAGATATTAATATACAATAAATAATTTAGAATAAAGTGAAAGTTCTTCTTCTTTAAATAATTATGAAAACGAAAATAATAATAATTAAATTAATATCTAAGTAAGTAGATGTGATAATAGAGAAAAAATAATAGAAGAAGAATCTTTAGATGGTTCTATGAGATAACATTAAGCAATATTATTTTCAACTTAAGATAGAATGCATCTAAAGATTGGTGATAATTCATATCATCCATAATCTTCTTCAAGAAGTGTTGCTAAATCTATTACTCCAAATACTCCTATGGGTTCTTAATATACTGCTCAACATAGTAATAATGGCACTGTTTAAAATAACTAAGTCTAAAGGAGAAAGAAGTAAAATAATTAATAAAAACGACCTTAATTATCGAATGAATATTCTCAAACCAAAATTTCCATATAGAAATAAAAATCAGAAGATAGCTATTATGAAAAAGAATATACGAATGAATCTTTCCAAGAGCCAGAACGACCTAGCAGATTGAAACCTAAGAAATTATAATAGAAATTGTAACCACCTTCTATTCAAATTTAATAATAAAGAAGAAAATCTTCTGCTCAAGTTTCTCCTATGGATGTAATTCATATCTATGATTTTTCAATAGCCAAGAAAAGTTGAATAAATGGAGAGGGAAAAATAAAAGTAATTGGAATATTAGAAATAAATTGAAAGAATGAAATTAGAAAGAATATTAATGGAATAATATAAAATTCCTGAAGATATGCCTCTTCCTTAAAAGAAATAAATTATTGAATCCCTAATTGGTGAATTAAGTCATCAACATGATCAAGAAATTCATTATTAAGTATCTCTATGTAAAATTTATTTTATACTTTAGATAATGAAAGATAAGATTAAATTTAAAATATTTAAAGAAATTATGAAGAAAAGATAGATTTTAGATATAATATAGTGAATAGTTGTTATTATGAGATGGATTATTTGTGTGATCATAAATTAAAATTAAAATAAAAAGATTAAGAAGCATAAAAAATTATACATTTGAAATTTCAAGATTAACATTATAATAATTAACCAAAATAAAATTAAAATGGAGATAAAGAAGAAGAAGAAGAAGGTTCTCCTTATAAAAAATAAAGTAAATTGGTTTGCAATTTTGATCCTGTTGAAATAGAAAATTAATTGAAAAGAAGATGTGAATTTATGAATGAAACTGAACTTCTCAAATTTCTTAAATAATTTTAATCTGAATTCGATAAAAAGGTTTATTAATGCAATCTCGATCATCCTATATAAGATATTAGATAAGATGATAAATAATTCACTAAAGGACTTATAGCACGTAATTTCAGAAGAAAATAGACAAAAAATGTCACATCCAAAATTGAAATTAACAATTATTAAATGGATATGAATAAAATTTAGTATGTTAAAGAAAAAGCTACTAAAATATAAAAACTAGGTTTATATCTTTTAATGAACTCTTGATATAATAAAAATATAAATATTTAATCTTTTAATATATATATTAATTGATTTTTAATACATGGATATTATTCATCTCATATTTTTCTTAAGAATATATCAATTTGATTATTAAAAATTTATATTTTTTTTAATGCCATTTTATAAAATCTATTCTTAATTATTAATAAAATATTAATGACCAATAGAGTTTATTAAAATTAGTCATAGTAGATAGAAGATGATTGTTTATTTGTTTCATAGTAAAATTTATTTGAATTAAAGAATTCATGATGAATCTTAAGCTTAAAAGACACTTAGCTATCAAATGCCAAATGTAAAATAGTACAAATCAGATTCTCAAATACCTCAAATAAACACTTTTACCATTCTTTGTAAGATAAGTCCCATAAATCCTCCTGATACTCCAAAGGAAATTTAAACTTTTAAATTATCTAAGGATCAATAAAACCAAAAATAAGTATAATAAAGCTCAAAATTAACTCTCAAATAAGATGATTCTTTCATGAAAAAGAATGAAAATTAATATTCAGAAAAATACAAAAGAAGGAAGCCTATTTTAGTTATTAGGCATTCAAAAAGTTTATCATGTATCAAAAAAGAAAAATCAGTCCATTTTCATTTGGAAAAAGATGAAAGTAGCTTTCAATTTTTCATTTTCTAAAATTGGATCCAAAAAGAAAAAAAAAATAATGAATAAATATGTTCTCTAAAGCAAATCGGTGAGGATGTAACTATAAACACAAATGGAGCTAAGAAAATATTTGAAAAAATTCATAAAAAATATGAGTCTAAAGTCCATTTCTAATTTCCTTTTTGAATTTACTTGTTATTTAATTTCGATATTTATGATTATTTATTTATTTCATAGTTCATACTTAGATATTTTTATTGAATTGTTGTTGTATATAGATAATTAAAATAAAAGAAATTATTAACAATATTCAATTAAGTAATTTACACAACATAATAAAAATTAATAATTTTTTAAATAAATAATGAATTATCATCTTCAGATAATACTTTATTAACATATATATATCAAAATTATCTAATAATGATTATATTATATCTTAATTATTAAATAAGATTTATTTAAAAATTAAAATTTAATTATTTTATATTCAAACAAAACAAGAGGAATAAAAATATTGAATTCTAAAAAGATGATGATGAAAAACTTTAATTTTTTAAGAATGAAATTGATCTGAATGATTTCATTAATCTATGCTTCTAGTACTTTAAAAGTTAAAAAAATTGTTTATGAGTCTAAATTTTACCAACTGGAAGATTCCAAAAGAAAAGATTATTTTCATTAAAATCCTTAATTAATGGCTTTTTATATATAGATGAGTAAAAAGATAAATTAAAAGAAACAGAAAACATAAAAATTAGTTAAAGTTTTTAAAACTTTAAAAAAGCATTATTACTAAAGTTTATCTGAGATCCAATTTCAGAAATTGGAAAAGCATGATTTAATATATTTACATCTAAAAAATATAAATTGAATTTGAACTATGGATAATCAGTATTTTTTAAACAAAGTAAATTTTAAGTTTTTCAATACTTTTATATTAGTATTAATCTTTATTCAATTTTTTTAGTTAATAGTATCTTCATTAAAAACATATATTTAAATAAATTGAATCTATAAAATTGAAAGATCATAATTTATCACTTTTTATATTAGATTATTCAAATGAAATTCAATTTTATGATGGAATTCATTTTTAAACGATTTAGGTTTTTATTTATTTTTAAAAAGTATCGTTTTATGTTCTATAGTTGAAGTATTCCTTTTAAATTACAGAAAGGAATGATAATTAGAATGAGAATGTTTAATTATTGGAAAATTTATATTAAATAATTAAAAGATTTATTTAGTATTTTGAAATGGGAAAATTGTAAGTATTAGACTTATGTTAAGCTTAAAACCAGGACGTTTAGTAGTTATGTTGGCAGGCAGATATGCAGGAAAAAAAGCCATTTTGATAAAGGCAAATGAAGAGACAACAAAAGTATATAATAAGGAAATTGAATTAGGATTGCAAATTCCCAAATGGTTTAGTTGTTGGAATTTAAAGATACCCCAGAAAGGTTACAAAAAGAATGGGCTAAAAATAAATAAGAAAGCGAACAACTTTAAAAGTTTTCATTAAGCAATTAAATCTAAATCACATTATGCCAACAAGGTTAAAAATGATTATATAATTATTATAGATATAGATTAGAAGAATCAACTTTGAAAGAAGTTAGAGATAGAATTGAAAGAGTGAAAGAGTCAGAATTGAAGAATGTTGAAAAGAGAAAAGATTTGAGAAAGAATTTAAGAAAATATTTGGCTGAGAAATATAGAACATTACCAGCCGGAAGTTTGGCTGATAAGAAGGCATAATCAAGATTCCTATTTTCAAAATTAAGGTTCTGATTTATTACATAAGTATAATTACATTAAAAAATGTATTTAGTATTAAATTGTTTTGTTTATAATTTCTTATATGAGGATAATTTATAAATCATTATTGTTATTGTTATTATTTTTACTTTAATTTTCTCTAGGTTCTGGTAAAATAGAACTTGGCCTTTTCTTCTTGAGTTTAGAAACGTCCTAATAAAATAGAATGATGATTGTACCATGTCCAATTTTGGAGGAAGTATCAATAAATTTGAGAGTGATTTCTTCCAAAGCTTTTCTATTAGTTTATGGAACTAGAGACTTTCTTAATAAGACGATTCTTTTCTTGGGTCCAACAATACCTCCTTTGAGCATAAGGAAATCATTTCTAATTTCACCATAATGTGGGAAACCACCTAAAGGAGTGATTGCTTTAGAGGTCAAATCGGCTTCAGTTGATGCAGTATTCTTATCTCCTGCAGCACCAATTCTGTAGATCTTCTTATTCATTTCAGTTCTGTGATGGTAACCCAATTGACCAGTTCTGGCAACACTGTATCTGACATTGGCTGGATGCCATCCTCCGATACAACCAACTCTTCTCCAACCTCTATGGGTTTTCTTTTGTAAATGCTTAACACCAAATCTCTTAATTACACCAGCAACTCCTTTACCCTTAGTGACACCTATAATGTCAATTTATTCATTTTATTTGAAGACTTAATTTACTGTGACTTCTTTTTCTAACAATCCTTTAGCATAATTAACCTTTTGTTCAGTAGTGCCTCCATTAACTTAGACTTCAAAAACGTGATTCTTCTTCTATCTTAAATTTAATTTGCTCATTTAAGTATGCACAATGACTCTTACGACTTAACAATATCTATATAGTTTAATTTATATTTTTACTTAATCATTCTCTTTAATTATGTTTCCAAATTCTTTGATTCTGTATTAGCCTTGTTGTAATTAGTGAAAGCCTTTTTCTTTGAATTCATCCAATTCTTATAGAATCTTCTCAAAGTATCCTTGGCAATCTTAGTACTCCAAACTGTTGTTAAAGCTCTTAATCCTCTTGGTGTTTCGATATATCCAACAATACCAACAACAGCCAAAGGAGGTGTTTCAACAATAGTAACAGCTTCAACAACTTCCTTGCCATTCAATTTTGATCCTGGTCTTTCAACAGTTCTCAAGATATGGGTCATACCAGCCTTGAATCCTGCAAATGCTGTTAAATGAACTGGAGCCTTGACATTGTCTTTTGGGAATGCTCGAATTCTTCCTCTGTGATGTTTTGTTCTCTTTCTTGGAGTAAATCCAAGATTTCCATGTCTAGGTGCCTCAAATTTTCTGTGGGACATTTAATATAAAAAAAAATCTTTAAAAAAATTTTAAATTGCTTTAGAAATTTAATTCCTAATCAATAATTATAATTATTATATATACATTCTATAATGTTTTCATAATTTTATAGAATCCTTATAGCACTACTTTATTGGATAAAGCTTAAACTCAATAATTTGAATAAAGTTCTAATCTATTTTAAACATGATCATTAATCTTCTCCTATCTCTTTCTTCTTAATAATTAGACTTAGATTATTTGATTCTCTTGAAATTTACATAATAATAATATTTATTAAAATAATATAAAATTATGTAAGTCAACCAAGTTCAATTTCCCAACCAAAAGTATAAAACATAACTTTGCAGACATTTTAGTAAATAATAGTATAAGTTTTAGTAACAAATGGTAATTGTGCTTTAGGAGCAAGATGTTAATTTGCTCATGGAAGACAGGAGCTTAGAGCAAATGCTAATGGATTTCAACAAAATCCTGAATTTATTATGCATTAAAATCCACAAGGTGCTCTACCCATCAAGACATAACCAATTAATCCCATGATTGCGAATTATAAAAGTATTATTTAAGATTAATCATTTTTAAGCATAATTGTGCAAACACTTTAACCCATAAACAGGATTATGCAAAAATGGGGCTACATGCACATTTGCTCATGGTGAATAGGAACTAAATTAAATAAATCCTTATTTCCAAAATCAATATTTGTAATAATATCAAATATTATAATAATAGGGCTATGTAGCAACAAATCAAATAGTAAAATTAAGCTTAAATATAAGCTGAACTCACTTAATAAATATTAATTATGATTCTGTCAAATATGGAACATATTTTTCCAGGATAACAAGTAAATAATCCCAATAAATTTTAGGACATCATAAATTTGTTAAAATAGGGCTAAGAAAAAGCCAAGTAGGGTGATAATTAAGGAGCAAGTGAAATAATTAAATTAATTATACATGATGAGCAGAGAACTAAGGAAGAAAAATAATAATATCAATAAATTTATAACAATGCCTAAAGACATTATGATTCAAAATTAAAAGAGTACTTAAACCAATGATTTCATTGATATTTTATATTATTATATATAATAGCAGATATATAGATTTTCATTTTATTATAGATAAAAGTATTTTATTGTCATCTATTGAATGCAATTAAGTTTTAATATCCATTTATTCAAGTAGTATATATGAATCAATTACTATCAAGATTTAAGTTTCAACACATTTTACATCTTATATTTGACCAAATTCCCATAATTCAAGACATAATTCAATTTGATCATCTTGTTGTTCCTTACTTTTAATGTAAGGGAAAGTTAATAAAGAATCATAATTTAATTCATCATTTATCACTGATATTTCAAATATTCCATCTTCTTTTATTTACAATTAAATACAATCTTAATTTCCAATAATATTTTAAATATGAGATTACAATTATACTAATAATGAATCATCAACCTCTACCCAATCCCAATCACTTTAAAGTATTTCTTTACAAACTGATGATAAAATATTCTTATTTTCTTAAATCTTCAATATTTAATAATCAATATTTTATTTATAGTTATTATAATTGTAAAAATTCTCTATTTGTAAATCATTAAATGTTATTATTATTAATTTTTTATTATTTTCTTTTAGATATTCAATCATTCTTAGATCATCCTCATTACAATTATTACACAGATAAATAAATACACTGCAATAATTAATCATAAAATCAATCCAAAATTTTTAAAATTATTAATGTTCATAATTAAGTCTTGAATTCACAATAATCTTTTCAGGAAATTAAATCTATTTTATCATAATATCTAACTTATAATTTTCCAAAAATTCATTATCATAATATTGAACTGCAAATTAATTTAATGAAAGATTTATCTATTATTCTTAATTGAAAATGGCTTTTATAGTATTTTTTATAAAATTTAAATCTTATCCTAATATTCCAATGGTCTATTTTTATTATGCTTCATGATCCTTCAATTTTATTAACCATTTGTTAGATAATAATTCTTACAAATTGTGTTATTCACTTGTTATTACATTGTCAAATTGGAATAAACCTTACTCTTTAAGAAGTTGTTGTATAGTGATTTCTAAATTTATAATCTTATCATTTTTTTCCTCACATTCTCTTTTCAAATCAACCAATTCTTCATGATGTTCTATTACAGAATCATAGTCTGGTTTATTGCAATCAAATATTGATTCACTATCATTTTCTATATCTTTATCAAATTATAAATTCTATTTTTTCGTTTCAATATTTTATTCTTCTTCATCTTCTTCATCCTTCTCAGTAATTTTTGAATTATGTTTTAGTTATTTTATAAGAGATTCTCTGTCTATATGATCTGTTTAAACTTCTGTTGATATCTGTTTTATTTTAACTTGATTAATTTTATTATTTAAACTAATCTATAAGGTTTTACAAATTTCAAATTAGCCTTTTAAATTTTCTGTTTATTGGGTTTAATTTTAAGATATAATCAATTATGTAGTTGAAGAAGATGAGTTTGTTTATGTAATTTCTTTTTAATTTATAAATTTATCTAATTATTACACTTCTTTATTTTAGTTTTATTCAATTGAATCTGTTTATATTATCTTTGATAATTTATTACTTAGATCTGTTTATACAATTTTATGAGTTTTAGTTATAATTTCTGTTGTTTATGTTTAAATATTACATAATTTAGTTTTTACTTATTCTTTATTTGTTGAAACTTACTTATCAATATTATAGAATTAAGTAGGAGTATTAGTAACTCTGTAAGGTGAAAGTGATGGAGCAGAATTATCATTAATAATACTAAAGAATTTATCAAAGATTTAATTAATTTTAGCTAAAGACTTAGATAAATCCTTTTATTTTTACAAATCTGTTTCAAGTATTTCATAATCTATCCAACTGATATTAAGTCTTTTTATCTTTGAATGTCGAACTATATTTGCTTAAATGTTGTTAATTATTTCAAGCAACATTTTAACTGAATTATCTTTTGGTGTCTACTTAGTTTGTACTTTAGTATTATAACGTTGGGAATCTTATTATGTTTCAGATTATTAGAATTTGTTTCTCTATGAATCTTTATCATTTGTTGTAATACTTTTTTATTTATCTTAAAAGATTCTTGTTAAATGAATTGTTTTTGATTATTCCTAAAACAATAATTGTTCTAATAGTTGATTTTTTTGTTAATACTCATTCTCTAATAATTGATGTTGCTTAATTTTAGTTTAAATTTAAAGATTAAATGCCTCTATCATTTCTCTTTTTTCTTATTCATGTTTTCTTCTGATTAAATCTAATTATAATATTAATTTTTCAATCGTTTATTCTCTGGTAATATTTTCATTATTGATAGATTAATCTTTACTAGAATTCCCAACTTTAGGTGATTTATCATTTAAAAAAGGACTTTTGGATTTTTTATTAAAATATTTTTACATAAATATTAATTACTTATTTTTGTTTTTAGATTCTAAATTATCTTCCTCTTAGCTTTTTTTGAATTGATGATTTTGCTTTTCTTCAATTTTGAATTAATTGTAAATAATGTTAAAAATTATGATTAAGAGAAGAACAAAAACAGAAAAGAATATTATTGAACACTAATCACTAATTTATATGGATAAATATGTGTGGGTTTATTAAGAAATATTATGAATTTTATGTTTTGAATACAAATTTAGTAATGAATTTATTTTAATTTTCATTCTCAAAATGTATCTTAATAATATTATGCATGATCTTTTATATCAAACATTAATTGTGTTCAGTGAGTTTAGATCCCTGAATATATCTTAGATTTATGTAATATCTGGTATTCTATTATTCCTTTTTATTGATATTAAGTTCTTCTTAAATTATTTATTTTAAGATTCAAATTGCAAGAATTAAATGAAATCTGAGAATTCAGGCACTTTAAACTAGGAATATCTTGAACTTATGATAAATCAATCTAAATAATAAGATATCAGCAATAGTACCAATGTTAAGTAGGGTCATTGGAGTCAAGAGGAACATCAATAATATGTCTAATTCTTACTTAGAGTAAAAGGATCAGGAGATACATAGAGAAAAGGGCAACCTTTATTCAAAAGGATGAGTTAGATTATTGGCACTCGTACTCCAAGTTAATGCAGGTACTATTATTATATAAATAGATCCCACCATTAAAAATTCAATCCTTTTAATCCTCGCTTAAGAAAAAATCATAAGAAAAGATAATTGAAAAAAACAGAAAAGCCTTTTCAAAGAACAAAATAACTTATTAGATAATATCTTAATAAACATAAAATTCATTCTGATGAAGAAAATCACAAGGAATGAGAAGGTTGATTAATATGATTAAACTATATGGTGTTAATAAAATCACTGAAACATTTATTTTTTTTAATTTTTCTATATATACTTTGCATCTTTAATTTTTAGAAGAGATTAAAATTTAAATAGGTATAGATTAAACATTTTTGAAATGACTTTCAGTATATGATTTCAGTGTAATTTTAGCTTTTAAAAATAAGTAAACTAGGGCATCTTTTATATAGTATTTAAAAGGATTAAGTTAATAAATTATATTGATATATATAATCAAATTTATCAGTATTTTCTTTTGTTCATATGAAAAAGAAAGACTTACAGTAAAGAAAATTCTGGAACCAAAGATATTGCAATGATTTTTTTAAATGCCGATTTTATTTTATTTAGAAGCTCATTTTTCTTATAATAGACAGAACTGATATAAATATATATTAGATAGAGATATGATAATGAAGGAATAAATTTGATTAGATTATAATATGATTTTAGATTATTTTTTAAGAAAATATTGAACACAAATTAATTTAAATTTAATTTACGATCATCAAATGAGGCGTGTAGCTAGAATTGCATAATCGATGATTAAAAATAGAATGCTATAATCTCTTCAATAGAAGATTGTTTATCATTTTGATGATAATTACAATAAGTTTTATAAAGAGAAGAATGAAAATTTGGTATTTTTTTAAGATGAAATTCAGATCCACCCTACTTATACTTCCAAACATTTTAAAGTTTCATCAAGTTCAATTGTTTAATACTTGGAAGATAAGAAGATGGAACACAAGATATAAGGAAAGTATGTATAGTTAAGATATTGTCCATTTTGTCCAAAACATAATATAGAGAATCCATCAAACTAATATGTTATGGGGATAAATTTAGAGAAGTAAATTTGATAAAATATAGTTTAAGTGGGTCTTATAATTGTTTTAGAGCAACTTGTTAAGCAAAAGGTTCTTGGTTTGATTTTAAGAATTTTATGAATGGGAATCTCAATAATTAACAACAATAAAATTAATAGAGTTTATAATAGCCAACTTAGAAATTAAATATATTTGAATATCACCAATATTATGAGAGATTAAAGTTGTAAGAACCAAAAATAGTTTATGATTATTTGACAGGAGATGATTGGGAAAATGTAAAATATGCCTATTATTCACTAGTCAGAATTAAAGAGGAATTAAGGATGATGTGTTAAAATTGTATTTGATTGGTATTGATATAACTGAAATCTATGATCCTTAGTAGGGAACTTATGTATAGGCTCCACTTATATACTTTCCTATGTTTCGATATAGAAATTAACACGAAAAAAATAAATTAATATAGAAAGCATTGAAATAGAAAAAGGATGAAGTTTTAGCTGAATAAGTGATGAGTGAAGAAACAAAATAAAATATTAGATCACAATTAGATAATTAATTTGATAATTTATAATATGAATTGGTGAGTTGTAAAATTAGAGCAGCAGGAAAAGACTTAAAACATATTTAAAAGATTGAACCAATGAATGCAGCAAAAGGAATATTTGGAATGCATTTACTAAAATAAGATTCTACATAAGTTATTTTAACAGAAGGAGAATTTGATGCTATGGCTGCTTATTAAATGACAAATATTCCTGCTATATCATTACCATATGGTATAAATCATATTCCAGCTTATCTTATTGAATGGTATTATATTATAATTATTAAATAAGGTTGGATTAATTTGAGAAATTAAATGATATAATAATATGGGTAGATGATGATAATCCTGGAAGAATTAATTCATAAAAGATTGCACGTAAACTTGGTAATGCAAGAACAAGAGTAGTATAACCATCTTTAATTGATCTTCATGATTATCCTAAGGATGCTAATGATTGTTTAAGATATTATTCAGATAAAGTAATGACTTACATTGATCAATCAAAATGTCTACTAAAAAAGAATATTACTTAATTTACTGATTTTAAATAATTAACAAAGAATAGAATCTTAAACTTTGAATTATCTAAAGGAACTTAATCATAAACATTTAGAACATATAATAATACAACAAAAGGATTAAGAACTGGAGGTATATTAATTATTATTAAAATTAGAATTTACTATTTTAACTGGACCTACTGGTAGTGGTAAGACAACTTTTTTGAGTCAATTATCTTTAGATTTCTGTAAAGAAGGTATAACAACACTTTGGGGTAGTTTTGAAATAAAGACTGATAGATTAGCTGAACATTAATTATTGCAAGCTTACAAAACAGATTTAATTAAATAAAAAGATTTGGTTGATGTAGCAATTTAAAAATTTGAAAATGAAATGCCAATTGTAATATATTCTATTTATTTATTTATTAGTATTATATGAATTTTTATGGATCAACAGATCTAGACTAGATTATTGATACTATTGAATATGCAATCTATGAATATAATGTAACACATGTTTGTTTGGATAATTTGTAATTTATGATGGGAACTTAAGTAGGAGGAAATAGAAAATTTGATTATTAAGATGAAATAATAGAAAAATTTAGAAGATTAACTAGTAATAATGATATACATCTAACTTTGGTTATTCATCCAAGAAAAGTTGATGAAAATGAGGATTTAACTATTGCTTCAATTTTTGGTTCAGCTAAAGCTACTCAAGAAGCTGATAATGTTTTTATTATTTAAAACAGACCTAGATATAGAGTATTTGAGATTAAGAAAAATAGATATGATGGAGAAGTAGGTAGAGTTGGATTAGGTTTTGATGCTAATGTAAAGTCATTCTTTGAACTTTCATCAACAGAAGTTAAAGAATTAAATGAAGAAAAAACAACAATATTAGATATTATTAATAAAAGAAAACAAGAAGGTAGGCATTTTAAATAAGAGATAACTATTAATGATAAAAATGGAAATAATGATGGTGGAAATAATGAAGGTGGATCTCCTAATAAAGGAGGAAATCATAATAATAATAATAATAATAATAATAATAATAATAATAATCCAAAAATATCTAAAAATGATAATTTAAATGCTTAAAAGATTATATTAGAAAATATAGATATTACAGAATAAAATATTTTTAAAGATTAAAATGATGATGAAGAAGATTAAATGGCTTAATTAGAAAAAATGGCTTTATAATATGCTAATCAAGAAATTTCAGAAATCATTATTAATGAAAAACCTGTAAAATTGGCTTTAGATGATATTGAAGATATTGAAAAAATAGATAAAGTTGATAATTCAATTGATAATTTATCTGTAGAAATTAAAGTTGATGAAAAAAAACAAGTCCATCAGGATAACATTACTAATTCAGATACTTACTTAAATTAAAGTAATATAATTAGGGAATGTGAAAAATGTGTTGACCCATCTAATGACTATCTCGAAATATGGAAATTTGACTAAGATAGTGATTATGGACTAGAACCAAAAATTGGATAATATGAATTAAAATAAGATTAGGCTCAGTCAGATAATAATTAAACTCATTTTAATTCTAATGAATTTGCATTATTCAATACTGATCCATTAAATAAATTTGCTGCCCAAAAGATTAATAAAGAATTAGATTAGATTTCATAGAGTGATGAATTTTAATCTATTGATGATCAAATAGAACTCACTAATTAATATACAAATTCAAAGAGCAAATCAAAAAGGGCTTCTTTCATTCATATTGGATCCAAAAAGCCTTCTAAATAATAATTAGATTTATGAAGATTATTTAATAGTATATAAATAATTAATCTTTTATATATTAAATAAATATTAAATTTAATGTCAAAGAAAACTTTTAAGAAATCTGAAGGTACATCTCTTGTATCTATTATTGGTGATGAAGTACTCAAATATTATTTATTTTTTAAGGATACTGTTACAGGATTTCTATTAACAGGCATTGGAGAAAAAAATATTAAAGGAGAAACTAATTTTTTGGTTGTAGATTCAAGTATTTATAATCATTATTTCTCGAAACCGATCCTAAATTGATTGAAACTACTTTTTAGAATTTCTTGAAGCATCCTAATATAGCAGTCATCCTTGTTACATAATTCGTTGCTGAAAATTATCTTAGACATATTATTAATTAATATGATTCCATTTTACCTACAATTCTTGAAATTCCTAGCAAAGAATATCCATATGAAGCAAAGAAAGTATTAAATCAGATTATAATATCAGGATACAATTATTCAAAGAGCTCATAGATTATTGTATGGTACAGATATTTAGTGATATATATTGAATAATAAAATAAGAATTATTAATTTAGATTTTTATTAAGTTATGATAAATGAATATTTTATTCCTAATAATTAATTATCCTCTTTAAGTAAAATTTGAATAGTTGATAATTTATAAAAATAAACACAAATTTAAAAAGCTAAAATCAATTAAATTTCTTCTTTATTTTTTCAATTAATAAATTTATTTTCATTAATAAATACATTATACTAATTTATATAAATTTCTAAAAATAAGATATAGGCATGGATTGAGGATCTAGTTTTTATAAAACAATTTATTTATTTTAATTTTTAATTTAATAATATTGAATTTTGTTATAGATTTTCAAATTTATCAATACTCATTTAATTACTGATGAAATTTCATTAATACTTCAACTTTAATTTTTAATTGAGAATATAAATTTAAGCTAAGCACTATTGTCAATTTTTCTTGTATTTAAAATAATTTTTAAGAAATTCTTGTTATGATGAATAATAAATGTATTACTTAGGTTAAAACTTGTCTTGGGGATAATGGGAACATTAATTCAACTGATAGGAATGAGAGACACAGACAAGCGTATTCAAAAGTTCTATAGTTAAAGAGCTTCAATTTGATACAATCTGAAACAAGATTAGAAACACCTGCAAAAGATTTAGATGAAGCCGAACTTCCATTAAGAGAACACTTTTATAGAGATACTATAAAACGTTCGGAAACATTCTTGAAAGTGGCATAAGAAGAAATGGGTAGATATTAGACAGAATGGCATTGGAAGTTTTTCTTTGAATTCCTATTTTATCATATTGTAATATCTTATATCTATTGTCTAGATGTTCTATAATCTTTTTGGGCCCTTTATGGTTGTATTCTTTTGGAAATGGCCCGGAATGCCTCTGATGATAAATATGAGATTTTTGAAGCATCATCCTTAGTTTTACTTTTAACTACTATTATGGCTAGGTTCTTTAGCAGGAGGTTATTGGTACTTATTTGATGACAAAAATATTATAACCTTAACTGAAGTTGTATTTACTTAATTTGCCCTTTTAATTAGGGCTGTTGTAATTGCAGCTAAATATGCTACCTTAAGTTAAGAAAGAATCAAATTATATAAATAGTAAGTTTTAAGTGAAGAAATCTTTACTTTTGATCTAATGATGTGGGATTGGAGACTTCAAACTCCTAAAGTTTTATTTCTAGAACAATTGAGATTTTTAAAAAGAAGAGAGTTGGATCCAGATTTTTATAAAATTGATTTCTTATGTTAACCACATCTAAAGACAGTAAAAGAGTTGGTATAAGTAGATGTTGGATTTTATTCTGAGTGGTTAGAATAATAAGAAGAATCGTAAGTTGCACCGATTATAGACAATACATACAACTGCTTTTTTATATTTGGGTATTTGATTAATTCATATCAAAAAAAACATACTCCAGGAGGATTTTCAAGATATGTTGTTGTATAATCATTAATATTATCATTGACACCTTGCTTTTTAAGATTATAATACTTTTATGAGGCAGATGTTGGTGCCATTGATATTACTAGAATAGTAATAAATATATTGACAACTTTCTAAGGATTCTTTGGATCATTTGTATTCTTATAGATTGGACTATATGATTTATAAAGAAAGTTTTTTCTTTTAGATTAATGCTGTTATATGTTGAATATAAAAGAATAAAAATATTCATCTGGCAAAAAGTTATTACCAACAATTAATTTTAATAATCCTATCACTTTTTAAGCGTGGTCCATGTTGAGAGGAATGGCCTTTGATTATGGAAGAACATATGATTTCAGAATTCAAGGATTTTATTCATTGATTTTTATAGGGTGGATATTTTTATTTTTGTTTGGTATAGGGGTATTATTGGATTTTATTCAAATAGATTACTTTTAAATTACATTATTATCAGAAATGCTAATTATTCTAACTGGATTTATTGGGTATTATTTATGGCATGGAGCCAGATTAAATGAATATTATGAAACATTTGATATTTTACTTGAAGATGTTAGAAATATGTATGTAGATATGCTTAGAAGAAAAGAACAATATTTTATTTTAAATTTGGATATAACTAATGCCATTCACAAAAAGTTTGTAATTTTGTTGAAAAATGAGACTAACTCAATTGAAACCATAACTTAATATATTAACTTGATAATAGAAGAAATTGATGATGCAATTAGATAATTGAATTATGATAAAAGACATAACCCTTTTAAAATTTATGGCATTCGAATAACTTTAAACTTTTTGTAAAGTTTAGTAGTTGCTGTGTTTACATTTGTTGGTTATGCTGTATAATAAAGAATGCAAAGTACAGACACAGCCTGTCTTTAAAATTGACATTATAATTTACTCCATAAGTTTGATAATGTTTTGGTTATTTATAATATTTAATAAAATGTAATTTCGAACAAGTTAATCAGCTAGATAGATCGAAGTTGATACTCCAGTTCATAATACTTCTGAAGATGGAAAATTATTTAAATCTGTTAGAACAGTCTAATAAATAAGATAATTGCTGACAATCAATTCAACTGTTAAATCTATCCCTGACTACTATTTAGATGCTGCTCCATTAAAAGAATATAATCCATAAAAACAATTGTCAAAATAAATAACTTTTAATGAGGTCAATGATGAAGAATTATAAAGATACAAAGCTGAATGGCATTGGGATGTATTCTTTGAATTTCTATTTTATCATATGCTATTTTTAATATTGTTAGGACCTTTAGTTGTCTTAGTTCTATTTAAATATCCAGGAATTATTTTGTTAAAAAACATGAAGTTTTTTAAGCACTCTTCATCATTTTATATGTAAACTCTTTTATGGATGGGATCAGTATTAGGTGGTTTAATGTATTTTATATAAGACAAAAGTGTTGTTACAATGACAGAAATTATATTTATGTGGTTTGCTATCACAACTCGTTCAGTTGTAATAGCAGCTAAATATGCTACTTTAAGTACTGCTAGGATAAAACTATATAAAACTTAAGAACTTCCAGATGAAATGTTTAGTTTTGATCTAATGTTTTAAGATTGGTTTTGCTAATCCTCTAAAGTCTTATTTTTAGAGTAATATAGAGCTTTAAGAAGACATGAATAAGAATGCACTTTATATAAATTTGATTTTCTAATTGAACCAAATATAAAAACATCTGAAGCTATCAAAAATACTAATATATGTTTTTATTTAGAATGGGCTATGAAACAATAAATGAAATAAACTGATCCTATTATTGAATAATTATATTATAATGGATTTCACATTTTTGGTTACTTAGTAAACTAATTTTAATAAAATAATCCTTAATCTTCATTTTATAAATATTTGATTTCATTGTCTTTATTTTATGGAATCTCTCCTATTTTCATTAGATTGAAATATTTTATGGAAAATATACCAGATTGGTTTGATTTGATAAGATTATTGCTTAATTTTATAACATCATTGCAGGCTTTTTTCGGTTCAGTCATTGTTTTAGCAATAGGAATCTATGATTTTAAAAGAAAGTTCTTTTTACTTGATCAATGTTTATATATGCTCTAAGCAAAAAAAGTAACTTATTCAACTGGAAAAAAGCTTATTCCTACCATAAATTTTAATAATCCTTAAACTTTACAGGCATGGTCTATTATTAGATCTTTAAGCTTTGATTATGGATAAACTTATAATTTAAGAATATAAGGGTTTTACTCAATGATTTTTGGGGCAAATATAGTTTTGATATTTGTATCATTAGGTTTGATATTAGATTTAATTCATATTGACATGTTTTAATTGATGTTGATTAGTGAGATGGCATTGATTTTAATTGGATTTACTTTATATTATTTGTATTTAGGAGCATCATTGAATGAATATTTTGATAGCTTTTAAACATTGTTAGATGATGTCAAATCGATTTATTGTGATATCTTAAGGATGAGAGAACAATACATTCTTAATAATATTTAACCAATAAATGATGTTCATAAAATATTTGTATATATCATAAAGGAATAGATTGGATTAGATGTTGATAACATAAAGGAATATATTGAATTAATAATTGAAGAATTAGAGAATAATCAAAGATAACTTGAATATGATAGAAGAAATAATCCATTCAAATTATATGGAGTTTTGATTACTTTGAATTTGTTAAAAAGTGTTGGTGTTGGACTATCAACTGTATTTAGTTATGCTATTTAATAAAGATTATCTAATGAATAAAAATGATTAAGGATTTTACTATATTCTAATAACTATGAATAATTTATATACATATCTCAATTTATTGAATCAATTTAATAAAATAATAGGATTAAATTATAAATTTAAATGTCAATAATATTCTGATTAAATAATAAATTTAAAATTCAACCTATATAATCATCTCTTTCATTATTGTATTGTTATATTGTTTATTTGATTTTTGATGTATCAGACCATGTGATATGATCTTCTTAGGATCTAGTCACTAATGTAGCAGGATCTGTAATTATTCTAGTTCCAATTCTGATATGTCCTTATTCAATATATGTGCATGCTTCTTTGGGTGTCTAAGCAAATTTAAGTTTGCATAACACAATAGGTAATCTTCTTCTACAAAAAGCTGATACTGCTAATTTCTCACAATTCAATATGTTATCTTTTGTTGTAATAATACCCATGTTATACAATTTCTCCAATAATTACTCAGTTAGTTTTACTCTAAATGGATCTTAAGATGACAATAATTTAATTTTAGAAATCATGGAAGTAATGTGACCACACATTCTGTTATATTTATCGTAATCTTCTCTATTAGATAAATTATATCTTTTGATTATTTCAGCTTCTCTATGATCTTTTTCTTTCTTCCAATTATATAAATCAACTCTCTTTAATAACTTTTTCTCATGGAATTTAAGCTTTCTCATAAATTAAATTTTTAATATATAATGAAGAAAATATTACATTTTTTTGAGTAAATTGAAACTACAGATAATTAAAAATCATTTGAAGCATTTACTAGATGTAAAGGCAACATCCTCTTAGGAGCAAAAGTTTAATTAATTATATCTTATTAGAATGACTTGCCTAATATTATAGGAACTTTAATTTTAATTGTAATTCTTATTATGTTGTACTTAATTTTTATATTTCCTGCAGCACTAGATTATTAATATAATGCTCTAGCAATTATAATTGCAATATTTTGTATACTTCCTATCTTAACATTTCTGAATGTTACAATGACAGGTAGGATTTATATATTATTATTTTTTAGAACCTGGGGTCTTGCTCAGAGGAGATTTACCTGATCCAAAATTATAATAATAATAGTAATTAGTTTAAGAACTTGAATAAACTTCTTTATCTAATTAAAATATTTCAGAGGAATAAATATAAAGAAATGGATAGAATTAAATTTTATTAATTACAGAGTCATAAAATTAAATGGAATAAAATATTGAATTACCTAGTATTTACAAAGTCAGATATTGTTCAACTTGTAAAATTATGAGACCGTCTAAGGCTTCACATTGTAAGTTCTAAAAGTTAATTAGGCAAATTTTGTGATCATTGTGTTGATGGTTTTGATCATCATTGTTTTTGGGTTGGTAATTGTATAGGGATAAGAAATTAAAGAGCTTTTTTATTATTTTTACAATCATCCTTAATTGTAATTATTCTTACATTATGTTAATGTTCATTAAATTGTAAATATTTTATTTATACAAAAAGTGTATAATTAATATTTTGATATTTAAGAACTCTGGCTATTAATGTTTAAATAGGCTAGCATTCCTATTATAGCAATTTATGGATTATATTTTTTTTGTGGTTGTTGGGCTCAATAAAGTTATCTAAATGTCATAATTTTAATGTTTATGTTCATTCTTCCGATAATATACTCAGCCATTCTAATTAATATTGAAGAAGCATATAAAAATTACAGATATTACGATAATCCATTTATAACTATCTTGATTACAATCATAGTTCTAATATGCTTTTGTTTCCTTCTCCAAGTTAATATTCTTAATTGCTATTATATATCATTAGTAGAAAAATCTCAATATATTATTCTAGGGAAAAACAGTAAAATAGGTGAAATAAGAAGATTAGTTTTATTTAAACAAATAGTCCCTTATTAAACCAAAATAAAGTGTTTCAAAAGTATTTAGAAATTTATGGCATTTTTATACATATCCAATACCAATAAGTCGTAATAAATGAATATTTATTAATATTAATATGTCTTATAAAAATATTTACATTTTTATATTTTTACATGATTAAGATTTAAAAACATTTTTAAGATTTCTATAAATCTCAAAATTATGTATTTGGTATTAAAATCAAATAAATCATTTATTTTTTAATATTCATTTAAAATAAACAAATAAATTATTTAAATAAGTTGAAAATTGCTATAAATTATATTTCAGAATCATTATATTCTACTTATGTAATCATCTAAACTTATGAATTCAGCTTCAATTATTTCCTCTAAGGACTATGGACTGACTTCCACTCTTTATTGATTTATATCAATTAAATGTTGGCATAAGTATAATGCTTGTTATCTTAACTTAGATTCAAATTCCTACAATATAACATAAACAATTGATACTTGAACTTCTTAGACATCTTTAATTTTCACTAAACGTTTTTTCTTTAATAAGTTCTGTTAATATTAATCTGGATATAATTTATTTTCATAATCAACATTATATTGGGCTGTAATAGGAAATTGATAAGCCATATAAGGTATAAATTTATATGGAGTTACAATTTTTACTTTTTATTATTATTATTATTATTATTATTATTATTATTATTATTCCACTTATTGAAAGTTAATTGTTATACCAAAATCTAATATAATATCATAATATATTACAATCAAATACAAATATCCATTCATAAAAATAGAACTCTTCAAGTTGAAACAATGAGAAAAGTTCTATTAGTTTTAAACCTGAAATCAACAAATATGGATTTGCTTATTTTCCCTTTCTATCAAAAATTTAGATTAACATACTAATTAAATAAGGCCATATTTTTCGAAAGACTTATGTTAATGATGATTAACTTAATCTTAAAACTAAGATTCTGATACAAAAAATAATTAATATAGTTATTGCTTCATGCTGTTAATTAATATCCTTAATTACTGTTAAAATTGCATCTAATAAACTAGACAATTTAGATTAATATTTATCTACACCTCCTGAATAGATTATAAAACAAACTCTTTCAAATCCTTTTGTCTTTTTTAATATTTCTGCTGATTTACTCTGAAATAACCCAGTAAATCCTTAAAGAATTTTTGAATTATTTCCCAATTATTCTGTCAATAAATCTGTTTTTTCTGATATTATATCAATAATTTCAGTCCAGAATTTTAAACATCTACCTGTGCACTTAAAAAATTCTTATTTATTGAAGATATTTAAAATATCATTTAAAAATAATTAAGAAAGTTAATCTTTTGAAAGTTTGAGTATAGAATGTAGTAATTCTGAAGCTGATTCCACTATAATTTAGTTATCTTTATCTTCAATCAAAGGAAAGATTAATGTCATAAATTCTTTAGTATTTTCAACAATTCTTTCTCCTCTTGATACTTCATAAGTGTTTATTAAAGTAACTTATGATAATCTTTTTAATGTTTTTAAGGCCATAATTGAACATTTCTTAGAGAAATCTTGTTATTCTAATTTCAAACCTTTCTATTGATATGGATCAAATAAATTTCTTTAAACAAAACATTCATTCCATCCTTCTTCTGTTTTTTCAACATCTTTTTATCTTAATTAATAATATTCAGTATAGAGTTCAAATATAGTTGGAGTGAAAGGGACAATAAGTTATAAATTTTAATCAAATTAAGATTAATTAAAGTTTTCAAGTGAAGATGATGTAAAAGTCACATATTAATATTACATAGATGCTATTTCAGCCAAAATTACCAAGATCTATCTTAATTATGTATGTAACTCTTTTCTGAATTCTTCCAAGACATCTTTTGGAGAGAATTTCCATGACATTAGATGAATGATTTCCAATAAAAAACATATTGTATTAATATGTCTAGATTATAGTAAGGGTTTTGAAATTGATAGAAAACCATTCCATAATTTAATCAATTCTCTGTTTTTAAGATTTTAAAATAAAACTGATGAAAAATAAGTATATAAAAAGAATAATATACCATTTTCAAATGTTGCTTAATCATAATTAAATTGATATGGACCTTTTTTATATTTATTTTTTTAGTAATACGATATTATACCTTGAATTTATTATGTATTAATAAATGCAGCAATAAAATCATCTGGAGATATTTAAAGAGTTATTGCTATTTCAATAAGTTTACACATATTAATATTAATTTTAGGATCTGCATAAAAATTGACTGAATATTCATTTTACCATATTAATAATAAGGATTATATTAATTTAGTAGTAAACTGTGTTGAACAAGGTTTTAATAATTATAATATCGATTACTAAATTTAATCTTCATCAGAATAATCTTCTTCTTATTTACATAATTAATCTTTAAGCTACTTATTAAATTAATCAAATTTATCATATTCATAAATGAAACAACCTTTATTAAAAAGATGATCCCATTTTAAAGTACATCTCCAACATTCTAAATAGGATTATATAATTTATGGAAATAATTTTAAAAGCATCTAACAAGTATCAGGAAAGTTTTCAAATTATAATTATTCTTGTTATTTTTATAATTTTAATTATTTATCAGTTTTTTTGAAAAAAAGATTAAGTGTAAATAAATCTACCAAAACACCTGCTGCATTTGGTCTTTGATCAATTTCTTTAGAATCATATTTGAATTAGAAAAAATAACAAATTATTGCTCTTATAGAATTAGATAATGACATTACTTCTTCAAAATCATCTCCAGATAGTGTTGTTTTTATTTAAAGTTATTCATTATCTAATTATTAAATATTAACTTATTAGAAATTATTAGTATTAAATTCAGGTTTCTGATTTTTTAAAATTTTCACATTTGAAATACGTCTAAATGATTTTACTATTTGACTACTATTATATTCACATTATTTTAGTAATGCTAATAAAGTTGTTATTATCAATGTAATCTTTTCATTTATTATCTTTGGAGGCAATAAATAACTTATAGAATAAATCCCAACAACTATAGTATTTAAATATCTTTATTTAAGATAGTAAACTTTAGCTAATTTTAATCCAATTACAAGATTATCAAAAAAGAGTTATTAATCATAAATATCTATTAATTTTACTTTATTTTCTGGTGTCAAATCTTTTTATAATTCATATGTATGAAGCAAGAAAACTTTAACTAAATTTAACAGTTATAATTATAATACTTAATCTCTACTTTTTATTACTTAATCAAACTTATTTAAAATGATATTAAAATATGAAATCAAAATTTAGGTTTTACTCTTTTCATTTATTGTATTATTTATAACAATTTCTAAAAGCTCTGCACTAATAGCATTTATTTTTGTATATTCATTATTTTAAAAATCAGCCACTATAAATTAAATAAGGGTTAAACATATTAATTTATAATATGTATTGATATTCTCATCTTCATAAAATGTTGGTTTAGTTTTTTCAATATATGGTTAAAACCATTCTTTCGATGAATATAATGATTACAATTTTTTTATTGAATCAACAGCTAAATCAAGTGAAAATTCATTTTTTTTTTCAATATCTTTTTAAAAACTAATTAATCTTAACATTATTGGATCTAATATTCTGAAAAAGAAAGGAGCTGATTCAGATAACCAAGTTTTAGTATTATATCTAATTAAAGGATTTTCATGTTCTAAAAAATTTAACATTTGAATAATTCCAACTCCAGTATTTTTATTTGGATGTCTTTTATAATAAGTATTTGTTATCCTACAATAAATCTAAAATCTTCTTTAATCACCTTATTTTAAAGATTACTCTATAACATAAACAAAAACATGCTGAAAATTTTCAGTTATATATAGTATAAATTCAACAATCATCTAATCATGATAATTTTAATCTAAAAGTACCCATAATTTTTCAAATATTTACTTGATATAATTATGTTAATTATCACAATTCTAATAATGATACGTTGTTTAATCCATACACAAAGATAAAATTTAGGGAAAAGGTTCTAAATCTTAATAACTATTTTTTGTTATCATTTCAGTTAATTACTTTATATTTTAATGGAGTGAAGATGTTTTAAGTAGTTCTATTAAAATTTAAATGGAACATAAATTTATTTTATTTGTTCCTTAATCTAATGATTTAAATAATTGTTTAATCCAACTAGGAATTTCATTATATTAATAATTTCCTTGTTTCATTAAATATAATTATGATCTTAGTAAAATTAGTGATAAAATTGAAAATAATGTTTCTTATTCATTAATAATTGAGTATTCATTAATTTAAATATAATAATTACAATACTAAGAGATGATATCAATATCAATTTAATTTAATTAAACTAATATCGAATTTTTTGATGGCTCTACTTATTTATTGTAATTGCTTCCTAAAATTGCCTATAATTCTTTATCATTTTCTAACATTTCTAATCTTTTTCTTATTTTATTAATACAATCCACAGTCTATTCCAATAATAATTAAGATATTGAAGATTCAAAAACTTATTCACAAGTCAAATTCATCAACTCTTTTATTACTATTATAATAAATTCTTATAAACATTCAGTTCTTTATTAAAATAATTATAAATCCTCTATTTTTGATAGATCTGAAAATTATTATTTCATTAAATTATTAAGACAAAAGTCATAAATAAGAATACATTCCTTAATTTAATCTTACTTTTACTCTTTCATATATTTATTTAATTACTCAAATAAAGATTTGATAATTAATTCACTTTGACTAGATATACTCTCAATAAGTCTTTCACCTCCTTTCAATAATTCTGCTAATTTTTCAGTTTAATTCTAATTTTCCAATAAGATAGTCTTTTAATATATATATTTTGCAAGTGAATATCCAATTTAAAATAGAGTTAATTAAACTGTTTCTGGATGTTACATATACCAATTCTATAAGACTTTTAATGGATCACCTTATTCTTCAATTAATATTCTCTTTAATCCTTCTTACACATAAAATATATTAGGATTCTTTTCAGTTAGTTCTTCTTCTCCTATTAACCAATTGTTTATTCTTCTAATAACTGCATGATCTTATTTTTAAAATAATAATAAGGCTTATTCAATCAATATTAATTATTCTTATTATGAGAATATTTTATCTTAAATTTTACAATGCAAAGACATAAAATCTAATGCTGCTCTTTTTACTAATGAAGATTCATCATCTAATGATGCCAAAAGAGCATTAATAACTAAAGCACTTTTATTAGGCATTTTATCATCTTCTTTTATTTCATTCTCATTCAGTTCAATTTATTATTACTTTGTCCATCTTTTCATTAGATATTTATATGCTCCTAACCTACTTCTAACTGATCTAATTATAGTTATCCATAATAATCCAAAAAATTGTTTTATTCCAACACTTTCACATGCTTAATCAAGAGAGGACATTACCTATTTTCTTTATAAAAATTACCTTTTTCATCATTTCCTCATTCGTATCCTCCATACCTACAATAATGGAATTTATTAAGCCACCCATACATGGTAATAATTCTTTTTTTAAAGGATAGTAATATTTTTCCAGAATGCTTAAAAACATAGGTTTACATTAAATGGATGCAAATCCAAAGAAAGGAAATAGACCAAGGGAGAATAATGGTAGATCCTATATTAAATCATACTCTTAATCTGAACAAAGTATTTGTAAAATTAAGTCATAGAGAGTAAGAGTATTTTCGTGAATAGCTTTATTCCAAATTGGACTTAAACATTAGGCTAACCTTTTGCATAATAATTTTTTCTTTGGTATATATGTACCTTGGTAAGATTTAAAAATTGCTTGCAATTTAAGAAGCCACTAAATATTAATTGTTATGAGCTACCTATCCTAAATCTGACCATTCTTTTAGAGATTCATAGCTTTTTAATATAGCAACGATCTTGGATTTTTATTTAGTTTGATCTTCAGTTTTCACCTTTATAGCTGCTTAACCTTCTGAGTTTCTGTTTAGATATTTTTGATCATTAAACATTCTATATTATATATAATATTCTTAATTATAATTTATATAAATATATATATATAAATAAATTCAATATTATTTACTTGATGATTATTTATGTTTTTTAATTAATTCTTTAACACTATCTTATTTTCTTTTTTTTATAGTTTCTAATCTAGCATTCCTAGATTCACTTCTACTTTAACTAGATTTACTCTTATTTCTTTTATTATCCTTATTTTTGTTATTATCTTTAACATCTCTAATTGGTCTCATAACATCACTTTCTGTATGTTAAGATTCTTTTGTAATTAAAGTTCTTATTTGATATTGTTTTTCCTTTTATTTAGTTAAATTTAATTCATTCTCTATTTTTTTAATAAAGTTTTTTGTTTATTCTTAATCTTCTATGACACTATTTAAGACAATCTTAAGATCATTTAATTAATTATGATAAACTAAACTATTATTTAATATTCTATCAGAATCATTACTCTTTTAATTTAATTCCTATTAAAAATTATGTTCCAATTTTTATAATTTCTATTCTATTTTTTAATAATCTGTTTTTAAAGCACTTTGTCTAACTTCTTCCATTATTACATCAATTTTTTTATTCATTATGGTTTCAAATTCTAAAATTTATGGTTATTCTTCTCCAAAAGATTTCTAAATTTCTTAAATTTATTATTCAATATTTAGATTTTATTCTTTTATTTAATTAATTTCTTCATTATATAACTATTCCATTGATATATTAATATGATTTCTAATATTTTTATTTTCTTATTCTTAAGTTGTAGCAAAATGTTAAAGCAATTTAATTAATTTAATAAAATTTTCAAATTTCTCCTCATGTTCTTATAGGGTTTCTTCAATAAATATCATTCTATCTTCATATTTTTTATTTAATTATTGTTATATCTAATCACAAATGATTTTATACTTTTTCTATTTATTACTCCACTTATATACTTTCCTTAGTTGATTTTTATTTAATTCTGTCTTCACTTGTTGTTCTTAATATAGGAGAAGTGTTTCTTCTATGCTTTTCTGAATAGCTCATTCTTTGATTTATTATTTTGCTGTTAAAAAAATATAATTAATTTTCTCATATTTTTAATCAATCTTTATTTTCATTTTTTTAATAAATATTTAAATCTAAATAGAAAATAGCCATGCACAAATTATTGAAGGAAGTTGTTAAAGTCTACACCTAATTCCAAAAACTAGGACCAACTTACTTAGATACCTTTGATAATCGTGCTATTACTGAAGCTACATTCGAAGCTGTTAAAACGAAATAATTGCAAGAATATATCAAAAAAGAATTTAAACCTATTGGAGATATATCAATGTTACCTATACATCTTGAACCAGAACATCGTTTCACTATTGCTATGTTTGCATTACGACCAGGTGTTAGAATGCCTTTACATGATCATCCCAATATGTTTGTTTTGAGTCATGTTATGAATGGATTAGGAGAAAGAGAATCATGGGATATTGATCCTATTGATCATCATCAATAAATTGAATTCAGAAAAAACAAAGGAGATTCTAAAATTTTGAAGGCAATTCAATATCCTAAATTATAATTAAAAGAAGGTGATAATTGTTACACAACTCCAAATAAATGTAATTTACACAAGTTTTCTAATGTATATTATTTTTTTATACTTTCTAGATTCATTAATCTGAATTATTTATGTTCCTTGATGTTATTTTGCCTCATTATAATGGAGTTGATAGAGTTATCAACTTCTATGAACCATTTAGTGAAAACTAATTGGAATTGATGGGAAATCCTAAAACCTATTAGAGACATCCCATTGATGTTGATGATATCAGAGAATTTATTGTTTAATGAAATTTAGACATAATACCTATGATTTATCATTACGTAATAAATTATTTAGAAATTAAATCTTAACATATTAATAATACTTTATTATATAATTGATTATAAATATTAATTAATGCTTTAACCACTAAAAGAAGAAGAATTAAATGAAATTTATACATGGGTCGATTAAATACCTCTCAGTAGACCAAAAAAGAATATAGCAAGAGATTTCGCTGATGGCATATTGATGGCTGAAATAATGCATTATTTTCTACCTAAATTGGTTGATGTATTAATGATTTGAATTTGATCAGATGCATAATTACAGTCAAGCTAATTCTGTTAAATAGAAAAAGTATAATTGGGATACATTAAACACAAAAGTATTCAAAAGAATTGGCTTTACTCTCTCCAAGTATAAATTTGAATATTTAATATAGAGAATAAGTTGATAGTGTGATTTCATGCTAATCTGAAGCAGTTGAGAGAGTATTAAAGTTTGTTTAAGCTAAATTGGAATACTATTTAGAAAACAATACTAATTCTGCTGAGAAACAACCTCAATAAGCAGACAGTCAAATTGCACCACCACCATTATTAGCAAACGAATGGTAAAAAGATTAACAAATTTTTGAATTGCGTGAAACCATTGAGGTTATAATTTCATTATTATTTTACAATTCTAGGTATTAGAATAAAAATTGCATCGCATGGATGAACTCATGAAATAAAAAGATGCTAAAATATTGAGGTATTAATAATTGCTATAATAAAATGGTTTATTATGAAACAACCCATAAAATTAATATCATTATTATTTATATCATAATATAAGTTATTTTAGTATATAATTTAATATGATGAGACGTACAATGGATCAACCATCTGAAACAGCATTGATGTCAGTTTCAACGTCGCTATCTGATTAAATATCATTATTATTATTTTTACAAATCTACACTATTTTCTAATCATATTAATTTAGCTTATCAACATTTCATATATTAAATAAGGTACATATCTTATTTATTATTAAACATTTAAATATATATCCATCAATTCAAAATATCAAATTCAAACTTAAAATCATATAAGATAATTCCATCCTTATTTTTTTCAATCCTTTAATTCTATATACATGATTAATAGATTTTTTGAATTAATGATTTAATATAATTTATAAATTGAAACTTAAAAATAATCAATAATTCAAAATTATCAATTTAATCATAAATTGAAACCATATAATCTCCACATTAGAATTTCATTGTTTTAATCATCATAAAATCTATTATTTAAATTAAAGATAACTTCAATTCTTCATTAGGAGTAATTTTTACATTTCTATAGTTTTCTTTTTATTAATTTCATAATCTGAATCAAAAATATATGTCAATTCAAGATGGCATATATTAACTATTTAAAAGAATATATTATCAAAAGGTAATTTTGATTAATTCAATAAACATACATTTTTTATTATTATTTGATCAAAATACTAATTTAACCTCAAGAAATAAAGAAAATGCATAATTTAAGTAAAATATATTTTTTTGGACTTATCAGAAGAATTTCAAATTATTTTTTTAATAAGATAAATTAAAATTTATTAGATACTTTTTATTGATTAAAGAATAAAAAATTTCATATTCTAAGAGAATTATCTAGTTGTATAAATAATTCCATGAGCTGTTAAACAATTTTATATTTTACAGGAACAAATACTATAGGCCGAAGATATATAAATTAGATTAAGTAGATGATCTTTTTAAATTAAAAATACTTATTTGATACAAAATCATTTTGGTTATTCTTGATCAGGTAATTCTTATTATTCCTAGGGCTACTCTTAAAATTATTGTTATTATTATTATTATTATTATTATTATTATTATTATTATTATTATTGTTATTGTTATTGTTATTGTTATTATTATTATTATTGTTCTTTATATTATTATTGTTCTTTATATTATTCTTATTATAGTTCTTATTTTTAATCTTGTTCTTACTTTGATTATTATAATTATTTTTAAGACTCTTGTATAAGTTTTTGCAAAAAATCATTTTCAATTTGATATAATTTAGCCTCTGATTATTATATAGATCTCAAAAATTTATGATAATGATTGACCCTAGCCTTTCTATATTTTTCAATTTCTTTAGTGGCTATAATTGCTGTTATTATATTATATAAAGTAGATAGTTTGTCTATTTCTTGTTATCCCTAATTATTATTAATAATTTACTTCTGAAATTCTTGATTCGACTTTAACTTATGAAGCATCTTTCGATTTGTTAAATGTAGAATTAGTGATAGTGGTTAAAGTTTATTATTTTGCAGCCATTTTTGCTAATTCAGCTTAGTCTTCTCTCATTTTTTATTCTTATTTAGCTCTTATAACGATAATTTAATCTCTGTAGATTAGGGTTTGTTACATAGATTCAGCATCTTTCAATTCATATCTAAACAAGTCAGTTAAATAATTGATGCTATTTTATTTTTTATTATTATCTTTCTATTAACATCATATGTGAGAATTTATACAATTTCTTCTAGAATCTTTTTATATTCATCTTGATTTGAAGGATTTGAGAGTACTAATTATTACTCTTTACCATAAACATACTCATTAAGTATAGTCTTTTCATAAAGTGGCAAAGATCCATTAAATAAATTCACTAATATATAATATTGTAATACTTTTTTCATCCTATAGCATTCTTCTAGCTTATGCAACAATATTAGATTAATCAATATATATTTTTAGAGTAGCCTAAGTTTTTCTTAATTATCCTGAAAACGTACTAATGGCCAACATATATTCACTGTTTTATTACTCTCTTACATCAAGGTTTGGGAAGGCTGTCTTTAATCTATCAATAATTTCAGTTGTGGTAGGTGCTTTTTACTGTTGATATACCTTATTATTATAACGTTGATGTTTACTTTTGCAATATCTTAAGAATTGGATCTTAAAAACAACTACTAAAAATCTTCGGAATAATAAATGTAGGGTAATTATGAAATGGCTATCAAAAAGACTTCCATTAGTCTTTTTCTAATTTATACAGTCTCTTAGTCATTGCCACTTGCTAATGCTTTTTCAGGAATTGGTGGAATGTAGCATCCTGGCCATTTCTTAACCAATAATTCTCTTAATTCAAAGAAATCATTATATCTTCTGTAGATTTCAAATGATCCTTGATTGTCTGAACCTTTAATCAAGTAAGCTGTGAATTTTTATCCAAATCCTGCATCCTTGATGATTGCATCTTCAATGAAAATTTAGATTTAGACATCTGGATAAACGACTTCTTTAATGGTCTCTTATTGGAGGATTGTTTGAGGGGATTATGATTACTCATCCGTTTATTTTATAACCTATTCTTGGGTATTTGGTTCAGATTATTAATCCATATAGAAATTAATGTTTAATTTAAATTAAATTGATGAATGTAATTGTAATTGATGATGATTTCAGATACTTTTATTGATAAATTATCTATATGATAATAAATTTTATAAGATATTAAAGAATATAGTAATTATTATTAGATTTATTGGATTACAATAAAATAATAATTTAAATTATAATAATGGAAAAGAAAGTTGTATTTATTCGACATGCAGAATCAGAGTATAATTTAGCCTAAAGAATTGCAAAGAATTCAGTGACTGAAGTAAAATTAGAGGATGAAGATTAAGATGTGAAATACTCATCTAAATATTGTGATGCTCCATTAACTAAATTTGGAAGAGAATAAGTACTTACCAACATAGCATATTAAACTTACATAGTGTGATCCAACTAAATTTGAAGATCTCCGAATTGAAACAGTTGTTGTAAGTCCATTAAAAAGAGCTGTGGAAACGGCAGTATTACTCTTTTAAAACCATCCAAATAAACCTAAATTTGTTATTGAACCATATTTGCGTGAAATGTTTTTATCTGGATGTGATTTTGGAATTAGAATACAAGAAACAATTAATGAATATCCATTTATTAATTATGATAGATTATTATCTAATCCTTAAATAAAAGAACATCCAAATATGTGGTCCCTTGAATTTATATATAATAAAAATAGCGCAAATATTTTGAAATAATACATTAAAGAGACTGAATATGGAAGTTAAGCATGCATTGAGAAAGTATTGGAGTATATGAAACAACATCCAATTTAAGTTGAGACTTTTGAAGAAAATACTAAAAGAGTAGAAGAATGCAAAAAATATCTTTAATTTGAAGAGCCTTTTGTGTGTGTTTCTCATTCAAGAACTATACAAACATTAACAGGCTAATTTATTCATAATTGTGATGGTATTGAAGTTAATTTATGAAGTGTAAAAATTATATTATTATAATATATCAATATATTTCATATAATTATATAATAAAATATTTATTTATTTTATAAATTAATAATAATAATAATATGGATTAACTTGATATTGATTCATCTAGATTTGATTGTTAAAAATATGTTGGTGAATTCTTAAAGAATCATAGTGTTTAAGATTTAATACAAAGACATAATTAATTGTAATAAGAGATTAAAGAATATGATTAAGATATATAATCATTAGTTTTTGAAAATTATAGGTAATTGCTCAATTTAGTTGTAGTAAATTCATATCCTCAATTGATACCGTAAAAAAAATGAAAACTGATATTACCTAAATAGATTAAAAAGTTGAGACTTTGGCACAATCTATGACTAAGATAGCCTAATTGTCCAGAAGAATAGATTCTTAATTATCAATTAAAAGAGAAGAAATAATAAAATTAGATACAGTCAATAAGGATTTGAGTCGTCTAAATTCAGTTTGCAATTTTCCTCATGTGATATAAAAGGAATTAGATCAATATAAAATTAGTAAAGGAAAGAATTATGATGAATATTTTAATGAGACTGCTTAGTATTATAAATAATGTTATTCAACTTTGGATCAATACAAAAATGAACCACTTATATAACCAATTTATAAAGAAACCAATTAAAAATTAGATAATGCAAGATAAATTCTTTGGAGTTCATTAATTGAATTTAAATAATAAAATCCACTTTTATAATTATATTCTGAATCTAAAGTTTCAATATCTACTTAAGAAGCAAGATCAGCAGTTAAAAAGTTAATATAAATAATGGATGATGAAGAAGCTGTACTTAGACATTATCAAAAGATTATTAAAGAAAGATATTTAACTGTAGCCAAAGAATTAATAGATAAAGCAGCTATTACTAAATCTTCAGAAGTTGTTAATTTAATGGATTATTTAGAAGATAAAAGATATGATTATACTGTTGAAGAATTAGAAGAATATAAATAAATGAAAGAAAAAGAAATTGTTAATTCAGATTCAGCCATTTAAGGATCTATTTTATGGTTAATCAATTAATTATGTTAAATTATATTTAAAGAATTAAAAGTGGAGGTTTCTTTTTTATTAATAGAAATCAGAGGAACACTTAGAGATAAATCATTAGAATAATTATCAACTTAATGTATTAAAGAAATTATTCATGGAGTTTTTTAAGGAGTTACTGATAAGATGAGTTAAAAGAAAATTAATAATGTTTAAGTTAATGAAGTATTTGTTAAATTATAAACTGAACTCTAATCATTATTTGAAAATAATTCAATTAGACAATAATTAAGAACTGAAATAATTGATAAATTTACAGAAAATGTTGAAAATATTTGTAGAGGATAGGTTTTTACATCATTTAGTCATTTAAGAGTACAATTTCTAGAATTACTTGTTTTTGCTAAAAATGATTTATAACGTTTGTAACCTACTGATGAAATTAAAAGGGAGATTATGACTCTCATTACTGTTATCAAATAAAAATTAATTGCATTCACAACTATACGTTTATTAGATCTTAAAGCTTTTGTATTTTCTTAATAATAGAGTTATTTAAGAGAATAAGAAACTTATTTAAATTTAATCTAAGCCTCTTTAATAGAGTTTGTTAAATTTATAGGTAAGATTTTTGCATTTAGATCAATTTCCATATCTTAAGATTAATTAAATTAATTATTTAATGATAATTATATTATTTAGCAAGTACTACCATTATTAAACACTAATGATTCTACATATTATTATTTATTTTCAAACTAATTTTTATAATTGTACTCTAAAACATTGAGTAATAAATTATTTGAACTTGTTAGTTAAGTTTTTTAAGGATATAAAAGTAATTATATAATTTAATTATTAAGTTCGATAACCAACTGATTAAGAATTAAATAAACTTAAAACTTATATAAATGGATCTACATAAAAGAATTTAATTTTATTTGCATAAGCTTAGAGTGAACATTGGATAAATATTATATTCTAATATCTCAATTAAGAAAATGTTGTGTACTAACAACAAATTACATAAAAGATGTTATTTAATGAAGTCAAAAATTTCATTGAAGCATTAGGACTACTATTTCCTGATACAAAAAGAGGACTTGTTAAGAAAGTATCCATTATATAATAAAGTACTTTCAATATTTAAATGGAAATTGTTATGGTGAGAAAGTGTAAGATATTAGAAACAAATATTAATGATAGAAATAGTTTACTTATAACTGTTGTAAAATATGTTTTGAAAGTATTATTACAAAAAGTAAGAGGAACTTATTTCTCAGAAGACTTATTTAAATAATTCTAGGTAGATTTATATTTTATTATGCAATTATTTTATGATATGGTTTCTGTTGATGAAGAAGGATTGATAGCAGGATTTTATATGGAAATATTAGATTGTGCTGGTAAAAATTGTAAAAATGATGTTAAAATTGATCCCAAAATATTAGAAAACTTGTCATTGTAGGCTAGAATGTGATATTTATTATAAATTATTTAATTTAATATGAGTAATCAATAGAAGAATATTACATAAAAACCATCATCTCTTAATAAATAATCAATATTTCAAACAGGTGCTCTTAAAAATAGAAATTCATCACCTATACTTCTATCTTAGAAATAACCAATGAAATTTTAAGAAAAATCGCTAATATTTGATGAATCAATAACAAATAATAATTCTTGGAAATAAACAAATGAAATTCAAATTAAGAATGTAATTAATTATTCATATTAATAGCTTTTAAACAGAAACAAATTTAAAATAAACCATTGAATAAATAGTTTAAAATATAACAATCAAATTAAAATAACAAGAAACAGATTAATTCATTAAAGAATTAAACAGTCCTATGCTAGCATAAGATTCAAGTATGACATTATATCAAGCTCCTATTGAAAATAGTAGCTCAACTTAAGATATATTAGGAAAGATTGTTGTTTAAGAAATAAAAAAGGTTAGGGCAGTGAAATAATTCATTTTCAACTAATTTTGTTCTAATGATCGATTTCTAGACAAATCAATCAATTCTTCATTAAATACTTAATAATAATAAATTCAAATAAATAATGCACCTAATAAAAATAGATAAAATAATGGAGGAAGTCCTTCAAAATTCTAAAATAAAGCATTTTTATAAGAACCATAATTAGATCAGAAATTATAGAATTAATAACTTAAATAATTAGATTAATTTATTTAAAATACTAATCAACAATACTTTTAACTTTAAGAATAAATAAAAAAATAAATCTGTGAATTATAAATTTAACAAAACTTATAGGTATCAAATATTATTATTGGAATAATATATCAAAAAAATTGATTAAGAATAAAATAGAGAAAAATAAATGATAAATTAATAATAAATTAAAAATGATAAATAAGAAATAAATGAAAATATAACTAATTAAGAAGTGCAAAGATAATTATAATTGGTTATAAAGAATTTAAATTCACTTGCTGAAAATTAATAATAATAAATGATGATCATTAAAACAACATTGAATACTGAACTTAAAAATTAATTTTTATGTACATCAGAATATAAATTGAATACATAAGAATTATAAAATCAATTGAATATCTTAAAAGATTCAATTAAATAAACTTAATAATAAACTTAAGAGACACTTATAAGAAAATAATAAATTATAGAAAATCTAAATCTAGAAATAAGAAATCTAATGAATATAAATAAATTAAAGAATGGTGAAATTGATTAAATTAAATTATAAAATGATGCCTTCATTGGTTAGATTAATGATAATAAATTTGAAATAATTAAATAAAACTAATTTATATCTGAAATATATAATTTATATTAGAAAATAAATCAGAAATTATCAAATACATGAAGAAAACTTATAATATTTATGTAAATTATTATATTTATTAAAATAGTAATATAAGATTTAATCAGAAATATCAAGAAAGAAATAGATATTATAAACCAAGATCTTTTTAAAAATCATTATTAATTTATACTTATTATTTTAGATTTACTTGAATGTAAAGAAATAGTCATTATAATTGATAAAATAACACAGCCCCAACAAAACCAAATAATGCATATCTATAATGCTTATTTATTGATTAAAACCACTTTTTCTATCTAAATAATATTCCAAAATAAATAAATATAAAACCATATGTAAGTTTTCTTATTGTCTTTTTCTCTTAATATTACTTACGTATTTAATCAATATATTCTGCATCTCTCTTTTCTTGTAAAAATGAATGATTAATTTCACAAGCTAACAATTAATTAATCTTTTTCTAAAGCAATTTTTAAGTATTGCCAAATCTAGGTATTCTAAATTTCAATTATTCATATTTCATTAATTATCTAAGTTTGTATGCAATTATTGTATATAATTTATCATTTATTGCCTCTAAACATTAGTAATATTCGCTGGCATCTTTATTCAAACTTTCCTTACAATTTATTAATTCGATTAAGACTAATTACAATAAATTCTCTAACTCTTCTTTTAACTCTATTGATTTGACTTTTAAGGGATGACCAATTTCTAAAGCTAAATGTAACAAAAGTTCTTTTTAATCTAAATCTTTATTATGTATTTCATTAATCACTATTTTCTCTACTTCCTTAACTCTTTCAAGACTAGTATATTTCCTATTAGACCTAAATTTTTCAGTAACATCCTTAATTTCTAACTTTAGCTTCTTTAACATAGAAAAAAATATATAAAATAATTTATTTATGTTCAAAATTTCTTCTAATAATAAAAAAGTATTTTATATATTAAATTACAAAGATACTTATTTAATCTTTGATTACTTTACAATAATAATTAATCTTTTATTTGATTAAAATATTATTAAGTTATATCATCTTATTAAGTCTGAGAAATTAAAAGTTTAATAATTTATTTTTAAATAAATAAATAAATAATAATCACAAATTTTCTAATAAGTATTCTGCATCTTTTAATTTTTATGTAAAATAATTTTCTTATAAATTGAGTTAAAATAATAATTTTTTTTTAAATTATTCTAACAATTATAACTATTTAGATAATTCAAGAAGATTTTCATTACCACTTATTTATTTTTCTTTCATTTCTATTAATTTGTTTAATCTCATAGAATTATAAGATTAAAAAAATCTTTCAAATATATTTTCTTCCAATAATTCAATTTTACTCATAAATTACTCTAAGGTTTCTTCATTATAGGTTAAATTAGCTTCTTCTTGTTTAACAAAATTACAAAGATGAAATTTTATCATTTGTTCTTATATTACACACCTAATCTAAGTTTTATTATTAATAATATTAAATTTTTTTTAGATCTCAATTTATTATTTAATGGATTATATCTCTTTATCAATTTCATAAGTCAAATACTATTTTTATTGTATAATTTTTGTTAACCTTGTTTAATAATTGTTTCTTCTCTATAACTAAATTAATATTATACATTAATTAGATTATTCTTTTATTTCTCCTTAAATTAATTTACTTTAGTTGCTAGTCTTTTAAGTAAATTTTTATTTTTTTTGACATCTTTTAAGACATATTCTTAATCAAATTTCCCATAAGCTTAAATAATCAAATAAGAAGTTGCTGACAGACAATTAAAATCATTTTCATTAGAAATAGTAATGATATCGTTTTCTTCATCATTATAAGTTAATGACTCTAAAACAAATTATGGCTCAGCTTATTGTAATCTTGATTTTAATTCATTTAAAGATTTAATTCCTTCAAAATTGAGTTCTTAACCTTAGTATTATATTTTAAGATTCATAATTAATTTGATTAAAATTTTAAAAAATTACTTTATAATTCAAGATATAGAATTATATTTATTCATGGCATAATTCAACATATTAAGAATATTTGTAAATATAAATTCAGAAATGCTTGAACCATAAGATTATTTATTAATATATTTTATAATTAGAATTAAATCTTATATTAAATAAGTATAATATTATAATTTTCAGTATTATTAATGAATTATGTATTTATAATTCTATGTAATACTAAAATAAAAAGAAAAATTCTCAAAAATATTCATTTGGAAACTCTTATTCATTTAAATTAATTCTTCACCAAAAACTTTTATTATAATATATATTCGATATAACTATCAATTGTTGTATTTAGAATGCTTTAAATATTAACTCTCTGCTACTTAACAATTTTTCCGTAGCAAATCTCCTACAACTATAGAATTCTTTTTAGGATTTTTGAAGACTTCACACTATGAATTTACACTTTTGTTTCGCTTTCGTAATTCAATATAATCATCAACAACATATTTCAACCATTTCCATGCATATTTAAGAGTTATTTATTTATCAGATGGGTGACAAACTCTTACCATATCTAATACACAATTAAGAAATTTCATTTCATCAGGTCCTTATCTAAGTTGGCTACTGAGGATTTCATTCTCCTACTAAGCCTCACTATATTTATAATGCAAGTGCTCTAGTTCTTCACTCAAATAGAGATTTACAAAATACCTTAATTATTGCTAATACTGCATTAGTTAATTAACTTTTTCATTTGCAATTTGTAACTATTATTCTAATGATGTGGATTCAGTTTCGTTTTTAAAAAACATTTCCTCCTTCATTGATAATGGTGAGAACTCTTATGAGTAGCTCATTTAATTTTAACTGTTATATAATTAAATTAATTCAAAATAGAACTTAATGTTAAATAAATATTTTCAAAATTATTTTGTTAATGATGAAGACTTTTGATTAAATATACAATTGCAATTTAAATATTATTATTATTATTAAATTAGTTTTTTTCTAATATATAGAAGCAAATTAATTGATTTACTTCATAATGATAAATCACTCTTGATTAATTTGAATAGACTTGAAGTTTCTCCTATATTTGAAAATTCTATTGAAAATGCTTATAACTTAATGATAATTATAAATTAGTTACTTCTGTTACTAAATCTGAAGTCTTATAAAGTTTCTTATTGATCAAATGTTTCAGAAAAATAGTAAAATACTTAATCATTCTAACCTATTATCCTTTTTCCTACATATAAATAATATATGAAACTTTAATATTCTAACAAAATTGTATGCAGTAATTAATATAATAATTTAAATATTCTTAAGGAATATGAAATTATTAAACAACCATACACATTATTTCTAATCCATTTGGTGTTACATCTATTTATACTAAGTTATCCATAAGTCTATAATAATTATATATTATTACTCTAGAAATTCTGGATTAGGAAAATATTTAGAAAACAAAAAAAATGCTAGATTTAAGTTCTTTTCAATTATTTCACTTAAATTAAAGTTTATTAAACCATTATTCTTTAAAAAATTGTAATTGTCTTTCTTTAAATATTCTTAAAATAACTAAAAATTAAACTATTAATTAATACTTGCAATTCATATTCTGAAATTTATTCATTATGTGCCTTCTAAATAATTTCTTTTATTTAACTCAATTTATCTGAATTTATTTATAATGAATAATCCCAAATTGAATATTATATGTCTTATTAATCTATCCAATCAAATCTAGTTTAAATAATATTTGGAATAGGTCTAAAATAATCAATTTCAAATCCATTTTGTTATTGAATTTACTCAATATTAGAATTTTATCTTAATTTTCTATTATTAGACAAATATTTACGAAGGTGGATTATTATTATTTAATGAAATACAATTCCTCATTTTATTCTGAGCAATTTAATTATTTGATTACTCTTTGGGGTTTGGCCTATCATTAGATGAAAATTTATCTTATTCTTCAAGCAAGGTCTTAATTGTAATGGCAGCATACTATCTTATATGTCTTAATAAAATCATATACAATCTATGGATCTTAAATAAATTTTCTTTCAAAATCATTTAATGTAAAGTTATAAATATCTTATAAACATGATTTCAATTCTGAATTGTACAGTAAATAGATAGTAAGAAGTCTTTATCCTTTTGTGAATATCTAAATTAATTTATTTATTATTACATTATCACATAATCCTTAATAAAAATAGGGATAAGGATTTTGTTCTGATTCAAATTTTTTAATAAATGTTTTCTATATATTATCCAATGTCCCAGTTGCTTCCAACAAATACTTATTGATTGATTCTATTTCTGATTAGGAAATCATTATATTATAATTATAATATTTAATCAAGTTCATATAATTTTATAAGAATTAAATTTCTTAATCAATATAAATAAAACTAATAGATTTAATAAAGATTTGAAAATATATTAATATTTATGTAATATATATATAATCATTTATCAAACTATGCATACTTTTTAGCTAAATCATCCATCTATTTTTCTAATCCATGATATCTATTAAGAAGTTCATTTCTTCTAATAGTAAATGTTTCTTCTTTTTCCATTAGTACACTATTATATTCTAAAATCAATTTTACTTTATTTCATTCTATAATCCATCAAGCATTTTTTCCTATGATTCAATTGTATCTTAATTTTATTATATTTTCTAATCTAATTCATTCATAATTCCTTCATCTGATTATTATGCTAATTAATCTATTCCACTTATTGAACAAATTCTCTAAAATTCATCCAATAACAATTTTCTTTCCATTTATAATGATTCTTATGCTTTTACTTCTTATTTGATTAATTTATCATAACTTTTTGTTTTATTAAATTCATCTTCAAATTCTTTTAATTATTATCTTGATTATTATAATTCATTATTCTTTTAAGACAATTCTGAATCTAATTTATTTTTGAGTTATTCTAGTTCCTCTAATTTTTATTATTTTTACAATAACTTTGGATCAAGTCTTTATTATTCTTTACATAATTTTTCAAATTCTTATTCATAATGTAAACTTGCAGCCTGTAATTAATTTTACTTTTATTAACTTCCTTTAATATCTTATTATAAATTCAAATATATATTTCTTATTTAATTGCTTTAATTAACTAACTTTTAGTATGATTATGATAATTCTTAAACTGTGGCTGTAGCTCTCTATAATTCCTCTCTACTTTCATCTTTACAAAAATTTGAATAAATTGTATACTTGCTTCTTCCTTTATTTCGGTAATTTTATTACCTAATAATTCAACTTCCTCTTAAGTAGCCTATTTGTAATGTTATCTGTCTCTCAATTATTAATCAATTTATTCAATTTAAGCTTCACATGTCTTAATTTCATATTTTCTTTATTTTATTTTATTTGCATTCTTTTTTCTTGGTTTCCCACTTGAATGTACTTTTCTAATTAACTCAGCTAATTATTATTTTAACTAGATTTATTCTTAAAGAACCTCTTCTAAATTAATCTAATTAAAATTAAATTTCAATATAATACTTATTCACTTTCTTATTATTATATTAATTGAGTAAATTGTTTATCCAAGATTTTTCTATAGTTTCTAGGATCTAATTTTGTTTCAAAGGGAATTCCATTCTCCTCAAACAATTATTATATTTTGAACATATATTTTAAATAATATATTTACTAATCAATAGTATAATTATTAATTTTATTAAAAATCATTTAATAAGAAAGGATAAAGATCATTTTTTAATTATTATTATTTAAATGTAATAATAATTGTCATACTAGATAACAGATTATATTCATTATCAATTATTTATAATAATTTAAAAATTGTCATATTCTTTAGTAAATCTAATCATTATATATAATTTATTAAACTCTTTTCCTAAGAACAATAAAAAACCTTGTTATAAATTATTTTTTACTAATCAAAGTTTTAACAACAAATTTAATATATAAAAATAAAGTTATCATAAATAATTCATTTTATATAAGAAAGTTACTTAAAGTTTTAGTTCATTTATCAAAAGATAAATAATTTTTATTATTTGATTCAAAGATTTTACTAGAAGTTCTATTTTATATTTTCTACAAAAAATAGATATATTTATATAAACCTATTTTTTTTACTCAAAATTTTAATTAATACAAGAATAAATAAAAGATTAAATGGAAATCACAATTTTTAGAATTAATTTTAATTTTATTATAATCATTATTAGAAAATTAATGAAAATTAATGATAATAATGACAAGTCATTTCATTCTGCTTCAATGCATAAAGCCTCTTCTATATTAAGCATGATTGAAGATGTAAATAATCATTAAGTTTAAAATCACAATAATATAAAAAATGTATCAAAAAAAAAAGACATTAATCCATAACCAATTATTTCTTCAGCAATTGCAAGAGAAGTAGAAGAATTAGAGTAAACTTACAAACATTAGTAATTTAAAGGCATTAAATAAATAGGGACTAAACATTTTTATATAAAATATATGGCATTTTATTATTGTAGCTAATTTTATCATCTTTGAGAGGCCCCTTATACTTGACAATACATAAAAGTTCTATCATTAGAGCAACTTGGAGATAAGGATTTACTGCTTTAATTTATATTCCAATTAGTATTTATGAATTAAAAAACAACAAAAATTATATCATTTCATTCAAAGGTTAAGTATTTAATTTACTAATGGCTTCAGTAGCATAAGCAGTATAAATAGTATATATAATATCTAGATTTTTGCAGTATCCTTATCTATATCTGTTACACATACTCATGTTTCATATGCCCTTATGTTTTATAATAGTTCATTATTATTTTATTGTGGAACTAAAATAATAACAAAATAACATTGCCATATTCTGGAATATTTTGGATTTGGAGTAGCTTTGGTTTTATTAATAGTAATTTTTACAAACCATAGTTATACATTTTATTCTAAATAAGATGTTTCAATTTTGGATAAAATAATTTATGGAGATTTAACTGCACTTTTTGGAGGTGGAGTATCTACTTTATATTAGTATTTATTATAATAGAAATAGTGCAAAATATTATTCTAAAATAATATCTTGTTGTCCAACTTTTACATTATTTGCAATAATTAGGGCTTTGAGTACTATTATGTTAATAATGATGACATTTACTTTTGATAATCAACACAGCTTCTTTGATTTCTTGGAACCAATACTCTTTACAAAAATATTCTTTAATGCCCTATTCACAGGTGTTTTGATGAATTAATTATAATCTTATGTACAATTATTTGTAGATCCATTAACATATAATTCAGCTAATTTTTTTTAACCACTTTTTGGGAGTATTTTCTCTTATTTATTAGGGCAGGTATAAAAATCATAATTTTATTAGGAATCATTACCAGGGTCATTATCAATAATTTGTATGATTTTGTATAGTATTGGTTTATTATTTATATAAATTGGAAGATCTAAATCTGAAACAGAGGATTTAAATTTGGATATTGAACTAAGATAATTAGATACAGTATATCTTGAAAATAATCCTTTGCTCTCAATTTTTTAATCAAATTACAAAGAGAAAGATGATTAAATGAAGATATCAATATATAAAAGAAAGACCATTTAAAGATAGCAAACAAAATAATTTGTTGATTATAGTATGGATTAATGAGAGTTAGTATATTTCACTATTATAATTAAGGTTTATTTTAATATAGATACTAAGTTATTATTAATGTTATTGAGTATCTTAAAGTGTTTAAATTTATTTTCTGGTGAAGTATTCATAGTATATAAGTTCTCTTTATTATTAATTTTATTTAGTATTTTTGTTAGAAAAATTAAATTATTACTTTTTTTAATTAAAAGAAGAAATCGTTAATTTTTCTATAATAATTCTGCTGCTTTAATTTTTATTTTTATTTACTTTATTTTGACACACTAATTCACTAATGTTAACTTTTATAATTAATCTTTAGATATTCTCCTGAATTGCTATGGGAAACTGAAATTAAATGAAAACAAAGTTATGGATAGTAAGGATCAGGATATTATTATTATTATTATTATTATTATTATTATTATTATTATTATTATTATTATTATTATTATTATTTATGATTCTATGATAATTTTTTTAATATTTCAGATCGATTTTAGTCAACATTTGAGAACAACGATCACTTAGAAGTTTCCATTTAAGGTTCTTGGAACTATTGGATGTAATTCATTATGTTAAAAGTTAAAAATTTTAATTTATTAAACAAACATTCAATACAATTTTATCAGTTTTAGATATCATGACAATTAGTGTAGACAAAAAAGAAATTTATATTAAGCAAAAATTGGAATAAGAAGTGTATTAATAATTAATGTAAATTACAATAAGATTGATAGAAATAGTAAGTATTCTATATAATTTTTATTAGAAATAAATAAATCTAAATCAGATATTTTAAATACATAGTTTTTTGATTTTACTAATGAATCTGTATTCTTGAAAATTTGCAGTATATATGTTGGATGATATCAGAAATTAAATAAATTATTATTATATAGATTTTTGTCCATTAGAAATTTTAAATAAGATTGAAAAACATAAAAGAAGTGAAAATATAAAATATACAAATCAATCAATCATCTTATTAAATACTATGAATCATATTAACAAAGTTGTCTTCTAAGGAACTTCCTTTTCTAGTTCTTTAAATCTATTGTTCTGCAGTAGATTCATCATATTAAATATTGAAATCGATAACTGTTGCTTTTGATACCGATCTTGTTTTTTCAGCATAATAAAATGCATAAGGTATGTAAAAACATGGAAATTATTGAACTACTGTAAAAAATATTTGAATGCTGATTTAAAAAACAGAATAAGTTTATTCTTTGTTTTTTTAAAAGCAAAATAACTCTTTATTAGTATTATACATGATTATTATGAGTACAATGAATGTTATCATTGTAATAGTTTAAGCCCAAATAACTAATTTAATCTATTTTAGTTTCATGCTTAAAGTATTTTTTATCATTGAAGAGCTGTCAAGGAATTTCGAATATTATTCTTGATTTTGACTTAATGATTCTTCTTTTCTTCTTATATAATAGATCAGTGATTATCCATGTATTTGTGTGAATATTGTGATTATCAATATTTGCACTTCCAATAAATCGAGACTGTAATAAAAATAACTATTATAACAATAGTAATCATACTTATTGCAAGAAGAATCATCAATTTCAAAGAAGAAGAAAAACTGGAATGAAAATACTATCAAATAAAAAGCTCCTTTGCCAATCATTAACCTTAAATATCGATTTTTTCTTTTTTCCACTATATAGATAAAATTGAATAATTACAGTCATCTGCATATTTGAACCGATATCTTAGGTTGGCTAGACTTTATGAAACAAGGATAAAGGTAATTAGTTGTAATAGGCTTGCTGAAATGATCATCCTATTAGAATTGTAAATAGTGTATTAAATCAAATGGACAATTGCTTATAAACAACAACAAATCATAGGTGCTATCTCATATTTTATTGATCCATTTGCTTTGTAGTAATGAAAAGACCAGCTAATTGAGATTATTGCAATAATTAGAGACACAACAGCAAGTACAGAATATCTAATGCAAGATAATATATGGTTATCACATTCTTCTAAAATTAAAATCATTCTAAAAATAATATTATATCATTAAATTCATCAGTTTTATTTAAAGCATACAATACTGAAATCGTTGTAGACTCTTGATCATAATACGGATTATTAAATACTCATTTATGGTAATTTAAATAACAAATTTAAAATCATATTTGATAAAATTACTAATTTAATTTACATTTCTTATGATAAGATTCAGAAATCATTAAATAATTAAGATTTTATTGTAATATATAATGATTATTTATTTTTCATCATTAATATCTATTTCACCATATATCTCATATGAATTGATTTGAATTAATAAATATTTTAGTTTTCATTTTTAACAAAATTTATTTAATAAAAATTACTGCTTAGAAAATAATAAAAAATAAAAATAAAAAATATCAATAAATGTCTAATCAAAATGATCAACATAACCAAATAGAAGAACATATCCTTAAATAATTTGATATCTAGGATTTTAAAGGTAAAGGAGCTTATGGAATAGTTTGGAAGGCTATTGATAAACAAACTAAACAATAAGTAGCATTAAAAAAGGTTGTTACTCATAATATTTATTATAGGTTTTTGATGCTTTCTAGAATTAAACAGATGCATAAAGAACATTCAGAGAAGTTTGCTTTTTATAATAATTAACAGATCATGAAAACATTGTTAAATTATTAAAAGTAATTCAAGCTGAAAACTAGAAAGATTTATATATGGTGTTTGAATATATGGAAACTGATTTACATAAAGTAATCAGAGCAGGTTTGTTAAGTCCTTTACATATGCAATATATAATATATTAGTTGTTAAAATGCTTAAAATTTATACATTCTGGAGAATTAATTCATAGAGACTTGAAACCTTCAAATTTATTAATAGATTCTGATTGTAAAGTAAAAGTAGCTGATTTTGGATTAGCTCGTAGTGTTGCTTAGTCTGAAAATTAATATGGTATATTATTATATTCTATAATCTTATTAGAAATGCCAATAATGACAGAATATGTTGCTACAAGATGGTATAGAGCCCCAGAAATTTTGTTAGGATCTCATCATTATTCAAAATCTGTAGATATGTGGAGTGTTGGTTGTATACTTGGTGAAATGATATTGGGCAAAGCAATCTTTTCTGGAGCATCAACATTGAATTAAATAGAAAAAATTATAGAATTAATTGGAAGACCAAAATAAGAAGATCTAGAACTAATTAATGCACCCTTGGCTTAATAAGTTTTAGATGGAATCTCAATGTAAAAAAGGAAAAGTTTTGCAGGATTCTTCCCTAATGCATCTCCTGACTTCATTGATTTTATTAGATAATGTTTAAATTGGAATCCTTAAAAAAGAATGACCATAGATGAAGCATTGAAACACTAATTAATGAAAGAGTTTGCCAATACAGAAGATGAAAAAACATTGAAATCAATAATTAAAATACCTTTTAATGAGAATAAAAAGCTTACTATTAAAGATTATAGAGATAAAATAACTTTAAATTGTGAATAAATTCTACAAGAAATTGAATAAAATACATTTGATAAAGACATTACCAAACAATATTTATCTACACCTTAAAGTTTTGCTACTTATATGAATAATTATGAATAAAAACAAAAACACAATGTTCCTAATTATCAAGCCTCTCAACCTGTTGATAAGCCCAAGAAAATAGAATCCTTTTATAAGCCTGATGCTGTTAATGCCTATACATCTTAAAAGAAGTCTGATTATTCTCCTACTTTAAAACCAACTATGCCATCTAATCCTTAGAATTTTAATCAAAATTTAATTCAATAAAAATATAATTCAAATTAAAATTAAACATACAATTAAGGTTTAAGAAAGACTTATACTAATATTGTAAATAGACCTCATAATGATATTAATAAGAGTCCAGAGATAAAGAAAAAAACAGAAAATATTATCACAAATGTAACAAAGTCTTATTCTTTTCATGGAGAACCTTATGATAGACGAATGAATAATGCAAGTTTTAGTACTTAAAATAAGAATGAAAATAAACCATCAACTTCAGTTAGTTATGTTAGACCTGTTCAAGTATAATAGTTATCAAATTACACTACAGCATAGAATTTTTCTTAATAAAAAGAAATGTTAAGACCTAAAGATCCTATCATGATAACCTAAGCATAAAGAAGTAAATCATTTGAAAAATCACCCATAAACATTAATCCAACAAGTCCATATCAAAGATAAAAAACAGAAGTTCCAAAACCTAAATTTATTCCATAAAGTAATAATATTAATTTTATTTTAGGTAATATTAATAGTAGTGTATCTTAAGTGTAAAAATTATTATAGAAATGCTGTTAAGTTTAGAATTATCAATAACATAAAAAAACTTCAAGTGCAATTGATCCAACAAAATAATAACCACAATAGATTTAATAAACTATTAATTACAATTATTTTGATATAAGAAACTCAAAATTTATGTGATTACTATTTTTGTATTATTTATATTTATATTATAAAAAGATAGTTATTAATTTGACTCATTTATATCATTAGTAAGATTTAAAAGGATTCTTAAATTTTGGTAATGCAAGTTCATATATTCTAAAAGAAATAAATGTAATATTACTATTGATTTATGTGTTCTTGAGAATTCTTTAGGTCAGATAGTTTGATAAAATAAGGGTGAATCAGACACTTATCAACAGATGGTCTATTGTTTGAATCTTGTAACATTTAGGTGATAAGATCATATAACAAAGGACATTTAAGATTCTCACTAATCTCATATCGATTTTTTTTATTTAGTTCACAAATTTCTTTTGGAGTCAATTTTGATGAATATATTCGCTTTCCAGTAGCCAAGATGTGTACAACAGCCCCTAGACTATATATGTCACATAATTAGTTATAAGGTTATGATTCTTCATATATTTCAGGAGCAACATAACCAGGAGTTCCACATCTGGAGTTCATATTTTTGGTGTCTGATAGAAATGTGGCATAACCAAAATCAATTAATTTTAATGATTTAATGTCCCCTTTAGTTTTAAACATTATATTATCAAGTTTTAAGTCTCTATGTATAATATTATGAGAGTGTAAATGTTTTAGAGCTTTTAACAGTTGTTTAAATATAGCTTTAATCTCTGACTCATTTAATTTAAGGTGCTTTTGTTGCATGTATTCAAATAAAGTATTACCATACATATATTCATAAATAAAGATGTGAGTATCCTTATCAGTAAACATTTCCAACAATTTCATCAAATTTGAATGTGGATATTTTTATAAGGTTTTGCTCACTCTAATTTCACTATTGATTTCATACTAAAATAACTTAATATAATTACACTTTAGTATTAAGTGCATATTTTTGCCACAACATATTCTTTAGTGAATAGATTTCTACATTATACAATCTAATATTAATTTTAAAAACTTACTTGACATTATTTGTTTTCTTTTAAAATCTTTATGGTTTCATATTTTTCATGAAATACTTTAATAGTTGTTTATATAAGTTAAGTTTGAGTTGTCATATTATTAAATGAAATAGCAGGTGAATTTTATTTTGTTTACTTATTACTTCTCATCAAACCATATAATTCAAATTAGTCAACTGGTATTGTACTATGAATATTCATAAATAATACTTTAATGTGACTTATAAGGGACTTTAAGAAAATAACTCTCCATTTGATTCTTGTAGTTTAGAAGGTGTATTCGACTTTTTCCTTTCAGTTTTTTGTAGTAGCTATTTTGAGAACTCAGAATCAAAAAATGCCAATGATCCTCCTCTTTTCATAAATTTAATGTTGAAATATTAATATCTTAATTGTAGATATATATATTTAATTTATAGTGAGAACAAAGTAGTTAAGAATTCTTAGAAATAATTATTTAATAAACCCTTTTTATCGTTTTTTCTTTGATTTTGTAATTATACTATACCCAAATTTGCCTTCCTAATCATTAACTTTTCTTAATAACATTTTCCATCTTGCAGGATTTATAATAATTAATTATTAAAATCATATACAAAATTTTATATTACCCCTGGTGCAATTAAAAGATTTTACATTACACAATATGTATAATAAAATGCTAAGAGGTAAAGAAAATACCTAAATATAGATAAAATCTATCTTGAATTAATTCTTGTTGCTTAATAATTTTTGCTATCTATCTCTTTAAATCTTTTATTATGTGTTCTAATATTAATATAATTGTTTACTTCTTGAATTTGAAAGGGATTCTATAATGTCAGATCATATTGAAATATTCTTTTGATTTTTAAATTATTTGATTCTAACAATTATATATAACTAAATTCTTTCAATTTTAATTATTTTTCAACAATATTTATTAACCAAATAAATTTATATTTGAGTTTCGCTATTAATTGTTTATCTAATTTTAGTACATTCCCTTTAATTAATACTTGAAATTGAAGTTTAAAATATATGCCAAAGAAATGATCACAATTTCTAATTCAAATTAATTCATTACCCTCTGATCAGATAATTAATTTTTGATACAATAATTATTTGGTTAAGTTATTATTATTACATTTAAAAACTATTCATTAGTTCAACCATAAAATAGTTAATAATTCTTACCACAAAAATGTTACAATTTTTATTTTTACTAATTTATATAAAAATATAAAGATATTTAAACTAGGTTTATTAAGATACTTATAATTGAATTAAACAAGTAGATCTTAATGAATCTATAGAATAATTAAATCTATAGATTAAGTTATTAAGATGTAATGATAAAATTCTTTGTCCTATCATCATATTTATTAATTTCTTTATCAATGATTCTTCACAATTATTTAAAAAATACTTTTTTTTAATCCAATTTTGGTATTTTTTTATTTCAAAGAAATTTGAGTATTAGTAAAATAGTTTATAATTAATAACTTATTAATTTTTTCTTTATTATTCTAATTATTTTGATTATGTAAATCCTCTTATTCAATCTATAGATTTATTTATTTAATTTACTTCATAAGCAATGTATATTTTGATATGTTGAAATCGCTTAAATATTTTCATTAAGATAGAGAAATTAAGATTAAAAATATTATTAAATATAATATATTAATACTGATATAATTTAAAATTAAATTGAAAAATTAGGTTTCACATAGAATAATTGTAAATCATGTATATCCCATCTATATTAAATTGATTAGATAAAAGTGGTTGTTTTTGATAGTAATAATTAAAATAAATATAAATAATTTATTAATAATTATTATTGAAATCTAAATAATTATTAACTATTCTTGGCATAGAAACAAATAATAAAGTCTTGAAGTTGATTTTTCATCTCTTCATATAAGTAAAACTAAACTAAAAATAATTATAACTACTGACTATTTACAATTTGATTTAAAGTAAATTTTATCTTTATCAAAGGTTAAGGAAAATTTGAATTAATTGAAATAAAAAAAAAAATTGTAATTAATTTATATTTGTAACTCATTAATAAGAAGACAAATTAAAATCTTGTAGCAAAATATATTCATTAAACATTTTCAATAAACTATTTATTAATAAATATAGAATTTTAGCAAAGAATCTTAAAAGTTAAAAGAACATTAAAGTTAGATTGATAAAAGTTATTCTTTAAAAATACCCATAATTTATTTTAGAACTTTTCTGATATAAGAAAACAAAAATTACTAAGTTATATTTATTAATTAAATTAATTTATTTATGATGAAAAAATTGCATGGCTTTCTTAATAATACCATGATGACTTAGACGCCTGATATATAAAATAAATTATATAATAATGAGTTAAGTGTTAACAAAAGTTGAATTTATTCAAAAATATTACACTTTTTCAATTAAAATAATTAAAATTTTGTTCTTCAAAAAAATAATTATTTTCTCTTAAATACATATGAATATATCACTTTGAAGATTGAATATGTTAAATCTCACTTTTCTTATTGGATTTTATTTTAAACTATTTCTTTTTTTTATTATTTTTGTTAATATTTCTAAATATTCTTGTTAAATAAAATAATCCAAGGATTTTAGAGTTAATATATATAGTTTAGTAAATATAAATTTCATTTTTAATTAATGAATCTATCTTGATGGTCTTTTTATGATTACTATTCTTTCAATTTAATTAATTAGAATGGAGTTTTTAATAAAGGAAACTTCAGACATGTTAACCTAAAGATGATATTATTATATTTTACTACTGTTTAATTTTTGATGTCTTTTCAAAATATTAATGATTAAGACATTATATTGAATTATACCTCTTTTCTGGAGAATTTGTCATATTTTAAAATAAATCTACAATGATTTCATTTTTTGTTGATTCTCTTATTATACTTTATTATTTTTTATGAAGTTGAGCAAACGTCTTGAATGAATGAGATTCATATGCGAATTTTCTTCCTGTTAATAATGTAAAAAATATCTAAGCAAGACTATAAATATCTATCAATTCGTCATAAGGATTCTCAGAATAGAGTTCTGGTGCAATATAACCAGGAGTTCCACATCTTTCTATAAGGTATGGTAGGTCATCTATAAATGTAGAGAATCCAAAATCAATAACTTAAATTGAATTAGGATTGTTATTTTCTAATAACATTATATTATCCATTTTAATATCTCTATGCATTATGTTATGTTTATGAAGAAACTTAATTGCTAATAGTAATTTCTTCATGATTTTTCTTATATCTATAAATGAAGGGCAGAAATTGTTTTAGGCCATATATGAATATAATGTACCACCTTCACAATAATCAAAAATTAAAATAATCTTATCCTTCTCTAGGTAAAACTCTCTTAATTTTAAAATAGATTCTTAATTGTATTAACTTAAGTATTAACAAATTCTTAATTCATTGAATATAAGTTTCTTTGATTAAATAAAAACATACCTTTGAATGTCTCTCTAGATTTTTAGTAAAATTAAATATCTTGGCTATGACTTCTATATTCTAATATTTACTATAATATTTGATAATCTAAACTTAATGTTATATATTACTTCTCCTTATTTATTTTTTTTTAATTTTTAAATTTCTTAGTATTGGGATATGAAATTTCCATAAAATACCTTTCCATCAAGATATTATTTTAGATTTTATATTGTTTTCTTTGATCCTAGAAAAGTATATGAATAATTTTCAGTAAAAACAATTACTTCACATTAATTGGGATCTCTAAAATAAAATTGAATTTATACTCTAGTTTCCATTCAAAAACCACATCTTGTGAACAATATTCAACCTTTAGTTCATCTATTTTTCCAATCTTGGATTATTAATATTTATTTTACTTATATAGTCAAATAAGAATCATAAATAGTAAATTTCTATTATGAAAATTATCCTTAGTTTGAGAATTATAGATAACAATAATAGATGTGAGTATCCGAAATCTTCATATTAGCAAATTAATATTTAATATATAATTGCAGTAGTGTTTATTACAAATTAATGCATTTTAATTAAAATATTAGATATTTTCAAAATGCTAAGTAAAATGTTTAAATGCTTTTTTTGTAATAAATTATCCTTCTATTAAGGTTATATCGTAACTTCCTCTAAATGATTATATTACATTGGGCATTGATTTTGAATTTATTATTTTTTCAAGTAAGGTTTCTTGATTTCTTATCAAGAACAAATTTTTAAACATAACAAATAATAATGGGTATTTAGGGATGTATTATCAAATTAAATATATTATTATCTTAGATTATGATATTCAACTGATATTTAAATTTCTTTTATGTATTCTTGTTTTTAGATTTAACAGCATTGAAATTTTATTTATTTTAGAATTCATTCTAAATGTATTCTTAAAGTTGTTTTGAGTATAGCGATGTCTTTTTCAATTAACATTCCTAAGTTACACAGAATTATAAGATGATATTTTAAAAATATAAAAGTAAATTAGAATAATTCTTTATAAAGAAAGAAATTTAAAATACAGTATAAAATAAAAATGAATATTCATATATTCTAAATTATCAATTGCACTTTAGGATTTTATGTGATTGTAAAGTTTTATAAAGAAAATTTGAGGATTATTGAAAAAATAAATGAAAATAAATAATAAGGTTATAAATGAAATTGCTATTGAGCATTTCTTTATTAATTAATAGATATTAAAATTAGATAATGCACTCTACTTTAACTAAATGAAATATTATTCAAATTTGGAGTGAGATAAAATGGGGATTTCAATTATATTTATATATATTTAAATTATTTTAACAAGTAATTAGAAAATAAACTCATCATTTATAATCAAGAATTATAATACAAAATATAATAGAGAATGCTTTGGGTATAATATTTTAACAATATTTAATAAGATTATTATTGATATTGTTATTTTATTAAATATCAAATACAATATGAAATAATTATATAAATAATTATTAGTTTTAAGTATAAGGATTTCTTATTTAAAATTTTTTGTCCTTTATTTTGAACATTTATGGGTGATGGTTGGTATGAAGTAATCAAAATAAATTAATTTGATATAATTAAATACTATTATTAAAGCTTATAGATATAGGAAACATTTAGAATTAAAATAAATCATATATTTCTTTTAAGATAATAGAATTAACTTATTAGAATGAATTATCAAATACTTAATAAGAAATTTATATAGATTTTAAATGATTACTAAAAGTAATATTTTTTTTATTTGATATTATATATGTAATTTACTTTAATGATTATATTATATTTAAGTCATTGATTTAGTTTATTATTTAATATATATGCATTTAAATATGAAATAAAAAAGAATTGATAATTTAAATTTTTATATTAACATATAATTTTATAGGATGTAATAAATAGATGAAAATTAACATAAGCCAAGTGTTAGGATTGCCCTGGCTGGAAATACAAAATGTGGTAAAACAACTTTATTAGGAGTACTAACAAAAGGAATGTGTGATGATGGATAAGGTTCACTAAGAAACATTATGGTTAATTATGCTCATGAAATAAAAAAAGGAGGGTAAACAGAATCTATAGTGTTTGAATTGATAGGATTTGATAAAGATGGTAAGTAGATTTTATCAAATGAATAACCAACAAATAAAAGCTAATATTAAAGTCAAGTATTTTAATAATCAAATTCTTATTTATACTTAATTGATCTTTGTGGAGATAATAAATATTTTAAGCATTCAATATCAGCTATTAATAAGTGTTTATTTAATCTTATTATTATTGTAATAGCAGTTGATGAAGGTATTACTAGAATTACAGTAGAGTGTTTATTAATTTGTCAATTATATAAAATACCTTTTATTATTGTTTTAACAAAATGTGATCTACTTAAGAATAAAGAAGATAAAGATAAAATTATATTTAAAATTCATAATTAAGTCAGCAATAATTTTTTGTATAGAAAATTAGTTATTGCAAAAGATCCTAAAGAATGTGCTAATTTAATGAATTAAAGACTCAAAAAATACGAAAATTAGAAAGGATTAATATGTCCACTTTTTGAAGTAAATAATATTAATAGGGAAGGAATTGATTCTCTCTTATAATTTTTATTTCATTTTAAAAATTAAGATCATCTTTATTAAGAAATAAAATCACCTGATCAACCATTTTAAATGGATGTATTTTATACATGCAATGTCAAAAATATTGGTGAAATTCCATTTGGATTAATAAAATCTGGAACTGTTAAATTAGATTAAATAGTCTCTGTTGGATTGGATGAAAATAAATAAATACAATGTGCAAAAGTAATTTCTATTTAAAATGTCAGAACTTCTCTTACATAAGCAAGATCAGGAGAAATAATTTGTTTAATATTATAGCCTATAATTTAATAATAAATAATTGACTTTACTAAAATTAAAATTATAGCTGATCCTAAAATCAACATTCCTTATGTGAAATCATTTTGGGCAAATATTAGTATATTACCTGGTCCAACAACTGTAACAATAGGATTTAAACCAATATTGGAACTCTCTAATATTACATAATAAGTAAATTTATAAGAAATTATTGGAGATGCATAATTTCTTAAAAGTGGAGATTGTGCATTGATAAAACTTTAATTTTTAGATGATGCTTATCAACCTGTTTATGAAAATTAATAATTTATACTTAGAAGTAGTCACTCTATAGCTTATGGATAAGTAGTTAATGTTTCATAATAAGATTTAATAAATGATGAATAATGAAGATTGTATTTGATATGTTCTATTTATGAGATATAATCTTTTATATTTTTCATTTATTCTTTTATTCTCTATAATCTCAAAAATTCAATAAATTTGAATATATATATATATATATCAAAAGAATTATTGAAAATTAAATGCATTAACATCTTTATGAAACTATTTATATCAAAAATATTTAATAAAAGATATATCTAGAAATAATAAATATAATTCAATATATTCTAATCAAATTTATTATTACAATAAATAAGAAATTGACTTAAATTATGAAATTTTTGGTTGCTCTAATATTTCTATTGTTTTAGTTTGGCTAATGTGAGAAATTAAAAGTATCTGCATATAGTATTATAAATATATTATATTAATAGTTGAATCACTTTGTCCTGATACTACAAGATTCATTTAATCATCATTATTAAAGGCATTATAAACACCAGAATTTGATGATTTAGTAGAATTAAGATTAGTTCCATATGGGAAGGCATCTTAAGTTTTATAAAATGATGGTAAAATAGTATTTTAGTGTTAACATGGTGATCTTGAATGTTTTGGTAATAAAATTTAAGCATGTGGTTTTGATGCATTAAATACATCTTAATAAGAATAATTAAACTTCTTAACTTGTATCCAAAAATCTAGAAAAAGACAATAAGAGGATTTCGAGAATGAAATCATATAATGTTTACCAGATTTATGGTAAGGCGTTTTAGAATGTGCAAAAGGAACTGAAGGAGTAAAATTATTATGGGCTAACGGAGAAGAAACATTAAACTTAGATCCTAAATTAACTTATGTTCCATGGGTAACAGTAAATGGTAATTTTGACTCAAAAGCTCATGAACAAATAGAAAGAAATATTGTAAAATGGGCTTGTTAAATAGCAAACAAATAAAGAGATACTTATTCATAAATTGAAGCATGTGAAGAATATTAATGAATAATTAAAATGAATATCATAATGTCAACTTTATTATCCTAATTATTCAGTCAAATCTTTATACATTGTTTTATATTCTTATTTAACATAGAATATGAATTTTGAAAGTATATCATATATAATTTATTGAATGATAAAGATAATTATCTTCAGATTCTGATAATTCAATTAAAAATTAAAGTTAGATAAGTTAATACGCAGAAACTTCTAAATTATTATCTAAAAAATTAACAATTGATACAAGGTTTTTTCTCTCTTTTTTAATAAAAAAACATTCTTAAACTATTGAATTGATTAAATTTGTTTTCTATATTTAATTATCCACTATATTTTTTTAGATCTTTTTGATTTAAAATTTAATAATTTTTATTTTTTTTTCTATTCTTTTATTTATTCTAGTTTCTCAAATACAGTTAAACCTTTTTTTATCTAAACTCTTATATTCATTATTAATCTCAACTTCTGCATATTAAAATATAGTTCTTTGCATCATATAATTTCTTCAAAAATATTGTTTCATACTTTTAAGATTGCTGTTTAACTTAAATAGTTAAAAGTAATTTTTATAATTATTGAATATATATAATTGATGAAATATCTGAAATACAATTTAATAAATATTCTTATGAATTTCAATTATATTCACATATTTAATTTATAAATTATAATCATTAGAGTACATAGAATATTTACAATATAATTAATAAATTAATTATGTAATTAAATATCAACATAACAATAAAGTGAATTCATTCCAATATCTCATCACGAATAATCTAGATACTCATTTGTCTGCCAGAATTGCTCATGCATAAATTATTCGATGGGGAATTGTCAGATTTGTTTCCAGTCTAATATGTTAAATCTGAGTTTGTTAAAGGAATGAATTAAACAGAAGGTTTCTTATTTATTTCAGTCTAAGATTCATTATTATTGCTATGAATTTTAGCAAAAAATTATTGAATTTCTTCTTCTTTTAATCCTTATCTGCATAATGGACATTAACTATTCTTCTTAGTCCAATCTTATAAGCATTAATCATGAAATATATGATTACAGGGAGTTATTCTAAATTTCTCTTTCTTCTCAAATTACAATAAACAAATAGAACATTCCTTAGACAAATATTCCTATAACATTTTCTATGCTGGCATAAATTTATTCAAATGGGACTCTTCCAACACAGGTTTTACATATGTAATCTTTTTGTATTGCTTTTTATATGAATAATAAATTAGAATTGAAACTATTATACCTGATAAAATAACTGCACATATTGTTAAGATTGCCCACAACGGAAATTCATCAATTTCCATTTCACTAATATACAAAAAGCTTTTTACTTCAATTCTAGCATCAAACTGTGTTCTCTGTCTATATTCTCATTAAACACTCCAATATAAATTATAAATTCATCTTAATCTTTTACATTTGAAAAGTAGTTCTTTAGATTAATATTCACATTCTCTTTTCTATCTATTAATTAATAGCCTTGAAAAAAGTTAGGTTATTAAATAAATGCTTCATAAACACCAGATAGAAGCGAGATCCCCATCTAAGAATTGGAATTCTGTATTTTCAACTATTCATTTCAAAATTAAGTTTACAATGTAATCCAAATTTGACAATTGATAATATGCAAAAAACCAACTCTATTTATTCAAGTTAATTTAAACCAATAAATCAACATCAATGTAATTTACTGATTGATCACAATTCAGACCATAAGCTGGAAATCTACATTTTGGTTCTTTCTATTATTCAATCTAATAATAATTAAACTTTTATAATTTACATTATCATAAATAGATAACTTAAAACTCATTTTGGTTTCAGTTTCATTAATATTCTTATAAACATTCTCCATCTTAGAAAAAATATATATAGTTAGGTTTTGATTAGTTTCCCTTTAACTTAACCACAATTTACGAATATGTTATTTTTAAGCATAAGACTCGTAACTTGAAGTTTAAATTGTTTTGTTTTAATCAACTATTTCAATAGTAGGGAAATAATTTTTGTTTAGTGGAAACTGAATAATTTCAAACTAATTAACTTAATAGCTTAATTTTTTTACTTATATGATATATCCATGATTTTATTAGAATAAGTATTCGTAATTTAAATCAATTAGTGTGAATTATTCTTCTACTAATTTCTTTGAAAAGCCTACAACCAAGAATATTATTATTTAATACATTAATTTAAATTTAATGAATTTGTAATTGAAACAAAAATCAATATTAACTATTTTACTTTCTTAATATTCATACATACTTCTAATATTCTATTATATCAAAAAAGGAACTTATATAAAAAACCTCAGTTTTTATTGTCAGTTATAATTTTGTATAATAATTCTAAACTATGATATATATATGCATCTTTATTAGATCAATATGCAAAATAATACTAAACTTAATTATTATATTGGGTTCTTTTATATATTTAAATAAAAATAAAGGCAAAAAAGGAAAAACTACAATAAAAATATAAGTACAATTAATATGTTGAAAAACAGCAGCCATAGCCATTTTAATTTTCATATATTTATTAATATCATTCTCAAAATTTAATAGATAATTAAAAATTTTACTTAACTTAATTGAATTTAATAAATTAAATATAGCATTTTCTTTTTATTGTATTAATGTATGGATATATTAATGAAATAAGAATAAATAATTAAAGTTTTCAATTTATAAAACAATAATTAATATTTACATCAATTTTATTTAGTCTTATTTATGATATCGGCTAAGATTGTTTTATCAAGATATTTAGATTTTTAATTAAATTCTTTTTCAAACTTTTTTGTGTCATCTTAATCTACTCCTAACTCAAGTCTATTTTTAAATTATTTTTTTACATTTATTTAGTATTCAACTTTTATCCATAAAGTATTTATAATTCAGGTGGCAAAAATTCAATGTTTTTTTTGAAAAAAATATTTAAATCATTATTCTAAGGGAGATCTCTGATTGGTTAATAAGGTTCAAAAGATGGATAATCTAAAAATGATATCAGTTTCTATTTGAATTCTTTTGATATTGAAATATTTTTCTACCTGTTTAATCATCTAATAGTAATTTTTATGCAATACGAAATCTTTTTTCATATGCTTTTTATATTTATTCCCTAATTTAATTTCCGATTAAAACAAAGTTTTCTTTATCTAATTTATTTTCATAACAATAAGCATGTACAAATTCATCAATACTAATAAATAGGTTGATTATCAATACTAATTAAATGCATTCTCTAAATCCCATTATATAGTCTCTTTGATTTTGGATGTATTTATTTGTAAATTTATCATCGAATCATTTTTATCTATATATGATTCAAATGCCAATATATCTTGAATGTGCTTATATTTCTTATGATCCTCTATGGCTTATTTTACTTAAAATTAGCAATCTTCAATAATTTCTAATTTAATGATTAACAAATTGTTATACTATGTGTTTCAAATGCAGTTAGCTTAGTAATTTTGTTTGGGTACTTTTCTTCTAATAAATCAACTATTATAGCAAAGAGATTTCTATATAATTATTCATCTGAAAAATCATCTTCAAAGTCCCACAAAATTTATTCTTCTAACATAGTCTCTTTAATATTCAAAGAAGTCAGGGGGATACTGAGTTTGATAGGATAGAGATTTTGAGCCATTATTTGCATTCCAGGTGGAAATGGACATAATTTTATGTTATTTTGCAATTTTTCATTATGAGTCTTAATTTTGTGAATTTTCTTTTAAATGCAATCAAGTTAAGCGATTGATTCAGATAGTTTAGTGTTCTGCATTAATATTAAAAACTTAAAAATTAAAAATATTTAAAATCTTTTTATAATATCAATTATTTAAAGATATTGCTAAAATGATTGAATAGATTTACATCTACATACTAAATCATCATTAATTATTCGCTTATTAATTATACTATCAAGCAATTTTGCTTACACTCATTTATTAACTTATTTTACTTTAAATCATAAATTTCTAATCTAAAATTCTTCCACTCATTGTTATCAATAAATTTAGAATAATATTTTTTATTTATTATAATAAAATATTCATTCTATTGTCTATCATACTAAGAATAATAATTATGAAAATTATAGATATAATAATACATCTAATAAACAAAAATAAAAGAATTCAAATAGTAAAAGAGATTGATTATTTTTCATAGTTGTGAGATTTTAGTGAACAAATATCAAGATCTTTCAATAAACTTAATATTAAACAATAAAAAAGTTAGTTACAAAATTGAAATAGAAGATTATTATTATTAATAAGATTTAGATTTAGATTAGAAGTTATACTTAGCATATTCGTAAAGAGAAAGTTTAAATCAAATTGAAAATAGAACTGTTATTTATGATCTAATGATATAAATGGAAAGAACTTTAAATAGAGAATAATATAAACTATTTTGAATTCTCCAAAAGAAAAGTATTGGATGAAGAAGTTTGAGCAAAAATTATTAAAAAAGATGCAGAAGCAGATTATAAAAAGAGTTCAAATAAATTATTGAAAGGAAATTAAGAATCAGACAAAAATAAATAAGGACTTAAAAAAAGAAATAAATCTACTGTAAAAAAAAATACAATTTAATGATAGACCAATATTGGTAAGAAAAATTTAAATAAGAAGAAAGGNAATAAATCAACTATTATAGCAAAGAGATTTCTATATAATTATTCATCTGAAAAATCATCTTCAAAGTCCCACAAAATTTATTCTTCTAACATAGTCTCTTTAATATTCAAAGAAGTCAGGGGGATACTGAGTTTGATAGGATAGAGATTTTGAGCCATTATTTGCATTCCAGGTGGAAATGGACATAATTTTATGTTATTTTGCAATTTTTCATTATGAGTCTTAATTTTGTGAATTTTCTTTTAAATGCAATCAAGTTAAGCGATTGATTCAGATAGTTTAGTGTTCTGCATTAATATTAAAAACTTAAAAATTAAAAATATTTAAAATCTTTTTATAATATCAATTATTTAAAGATATTGCTAAAATGATTGAATAGATTTACATCTACATACTAAATCATCATTAATTATTCGCTTATTAATTATACTATCAAGCAATTTTGCTTACACTCATTTATTAACTTATTTTACTTTAAATCATAAATTTCTAATCTAAAATTCTTCCACTCATTGTTATCAATAAATTTAGAATAATATTTTTTATTTATTATAATAAAATATTCATTCTATTGTCTATCATACTAAGAATAATAATTATGAAAATTATAGATATAATAATACATCTAATAAACAAAAATAAAAGAATTCAAATAGTAAAAGAGATTGATTATTTTTCATAGTTGTGAGATTTTAGTGAACAAATATCAAGATCTTTCAATAAACTTAATATTAAACAATAAAAAAGTTAGTTACAAAATTGAAATAGAAGATTATTATTATTAATAAGATTTAGATTTAGATTAGAAGTTATACTTAGCATATTCGTAAAGAGAAAGTTTAAATCAAATTGAAAATAGAACTGTTATTTATGATCTAATGATATAAATGGAAAGAACTTTAAATAGAGAATAATATAAACTATTTTGAATTCTCCAAAAGAAAAGTATTGGATGAAGAAGTTTGAGCAAAAATTATTAAAAAAGATGCAGAAGCAGATTATAAAAAGAGTTCAAATAAATTATTGAAAGGAAATTAAGAATCAGACAAAAATAAATAAGGACTTAAAAAAAGAAATAAATCTACTGTAAAAAAAAATACAATTTAATGATAGACCAATATTGGTAAGAAAAATTTAAATAAGAAGAAAGGTATTAAATAAAAGATTTACTTTAAAGTTTTTTGCATTATTTGAAATAATTACTGATTAGCTTCTCAAGTAAAGATCAAAATATATATTATATGAATCAAAATTATTATTAAGGACTTTATTATAAATTATTGAGAAGAATAAAATATATTTAGATTTGTAAATAGAAAGAATAGTATAACGTTGACTGAGACCTTCAAGAAATCATTATGGTTTTTTAAGTATTTAAGATTATATGAATTATTTTTAGAGTATTAGTAATATAGCTTTTTGATTATTTGAAACTATCATCAAATTTACTTAAGATTTTAAGTTTAACTTAAATTTTATAATGAAATATATATTAATTGTTGATTGAATTACCTTAATTATAATAAATTTGAAGAAAAAAGAAATATAATGTGATCATTTTATATTTAATCACTGTCAAATAGTTATAGTATGTAAAAAATTCATTAGAAAATTAACTATAAAGACATCTGCAAAAGAGCAAAGGTTTAATTGTTACTTAAATTTGCAATCTAATTACTTTTTTTAGGATTTAAAGAAAATTTCTTTTAATAATAAATCTATCTAATAATCATATATATATGAAACTCAAAAGTAAGATTTGTATTATTTGGATTATTCTTATGAATTTGTTTTTTTGTTAATGCAAATATGAAATTTAATGATTTCTTTTTAAGTTTATGATCTATTTTTATAAATAATTCTCCTGTATATATTATATTTATTTTATCTAACTAGATATGCTATCTAGTTAGAATGCATTTAATAATTAGATGTATTTAAAAAAGAAATATATATTATTTTATATAAGTAATACAACATATGCAGTAATAATAATAACAATTAAGATCATCTGAAATCAGAAGACAATCTTCAACTTAATCAAATAGTGCAATTGATGAACCATTCCTAAAATTTTTGGCTGAAAGTAATTATTTGGAAAGTGAATAATCGTCTCAAGAAAAACATCAAAAATTAACCAAATGCAAAACTGAACATTCTCTTTAGCCAATCTAGTACATCAATTCAAATTCATTTACTGTTAGCGATAAGAAGGTATTGTAAAAATAAAAAAAATAGTTTTCATTTCCAGCAAATGAAATTCTTGAATGGGAAACCTTATAAATAACCTTGCCACCTGAAGTTTATCAGTTCTTATTGTTTATGAAAACTTAGTGCAGTAATGGTACCATCGTTTACACAAACGAATAAATATAAGGTTTGTTAGATGATAGTAAAGTAATCATGTAAAGATAGATATATTTAATATAGTAAAAATTAATTAGAATTATTTTAAAAATTGATTGATAAAGGATGGATATCAAAAACAACAAGATTATTTAATGATATTGCAATTAACTTTTATGCATTATCAG